AGAGTTCGCGAAGTTTTCACTTGGCCGGGGAAATCGGTTCCGGTCGAATGGAAATTTCGATCGCCGTTGGTCTCGCCGCGAACGCTTTGAAAAAGTTCCCGGGTTCCGGCTATATTGTTTTAATACGACGGAAGCTTAAGACGCGATCCCGATTTGATGAAAGTTCGCGTGAAGTTCGACCGTTCCGGATACCGCCGGCACACCCCGCGACGGAAAACATCGATCCGCCGGCCGTCTTTTTATCGGGCCGCGTCGAACTTACATAATCGCGGCGGCGAACGATTGTGAACCGTGTCCGAAAGTAATTTCGGGCTCCCTCGGCGATCGAATGGAAATTAGAGGAGAGACCGTGGCCCCGTTTTCGTTTACGTAAGTGCGGGAGAGACGGGGACGACGAGAAGTGGCGACTTCGCGAGCGGGACGGAGAACTGTCTTCTGCAACTTTGACAGAGCCAGAAGGAGCTTTATTTAGGAACACGCTCGGTAAGCGTCGCCGAGCGCTCTTCAGGGACTCGAGAAATGGGGCACAACCTTTCAAATCAATCGTCGCCGACAGTGTACCGGCCGGTGCCACTCGTGATTTAAAATTTGTAACGCGAGCAGCTTTGAATTCGTGCCCTGCACGCTCGCCGGTCCGGGCCTGGCCGGGCCTGGACGCATCCGACGCTTTCATTATTTATTAACGATGAATTATTTATCGCGCGCGCCGGCCTCTTGAACCGCCTTTTGCCTCCCTGTATCCGACCCCATAAATTTCCCAGCGGATCAACTAGCTGCAGTCGCGCGACCTCGCGAACCAGTCGACCTTGCACGCTGGTCAACGTCTCTAATTAGCTGGCAAGACGTCTTTAATTAACCAGCCTTCGAACCTCTTTCCGCCGCGCGAGTAACACGACTGCGCTCGTCGCATCCCGGAAATGCACCTGCAATTAAATCCTCCGTGCTTCTGGCCGACCGAACTTGCGGGCCGACGGACTCGTTCATTAAGAAATCCATTAAGCGAGGACAAGACGTCTGACTCGAAAGAATTTTGGTCGATTCGTAAGCTAACTGTTTGGAAAACCGAAATCACTTTCGCAACGACCGAATAGATTCAAGGAAAACGTACAAAAATGCTTTAAGATCACTTTTTCTCTGCGTCAGAGTAAGACTTTTGAAACTTCACCTTCTAATTGTTCGAATTTCGAATTATCACTACGACTTCACATTCTACACACTTTAAGGAAATAAAAAAGAAAGTCGAGTCTTTTTAACCATTCGGATGGTTGGTGTCCCGCCTGGAATAAAATTGAGACGTTCAAAATCCGAGGAATTGAACGCAACAAAAGTCGCGTCGCAGACTTCTATATCTTGCGTATCTTCTGCAAGTTTCTGCAAACATTTTCGTGCGCTTCTTTCGAAATTAAATTTCGCGGAGGGATTTTTCTTGGCGGCGGAAGCGAATTGTTATGGTGGTATTTTTTCGGAAAAGACTGCAGAGCAGCGCCGGGGAGGATTTCTCCGCGAGACTTTTGGTAACCTAGTTCCTCCTCGTTAGTGGATGGCTCTACACATGTAACCTGTCCTAACAAGGGAAGGAAAAAGTAGGAGATCGGCCACCGGAGATTTTCCTGGTTCGATGAGAAGGGAAGCCTCCCCATTTCTCGCCGGCACGTGGAAGGCTCCTTCATAAAGCTAGATGCCTTTTAGCTCCTAGCCTCACCCTCGACCTTCCTCCACCGTCTTTCACATTATTAACCCCCATTGTGCTTTGTTCCCGAACGTCGACAGAACTCGTAACACGGGGCCATCGCATTCTCCCAGTCGTCCCTGTCCCCGGGACAGGGCTAAGGAGTTCCGGCCACATGTTACGATCCAACTTACACGAAACGTCGAAGAAATGAGCGATCGTCGGCCGGCAACCAGGCCAATTACGGGGGGGGTGGAATCTCACGGAGCAGTCGTTCCCTGCGAACGCAGCACGACTCGGATCAAAACTCGATCAGCCCGTAGCACATTTTTCCAGAAACTCGTTCCTGGGATATTATCGTCTATTGTGCGCGAAATAATGAACAGAATCGTCTTCAAACAAAACTCCTTTGGAATTTGCAATAGAGCATTCTAAACATCCTGAATTGTGTTCGATTTTATTAGATTTTTGGAAAGCCTTCGAAGTGAGAATAGAAATATAAATATAGAAATATTAGTATTGTTGTTAAAAACAATGTAAATCATGTACATTATTATTTAAATATAATTTCACATAGTATTGTTATTTTTAAATGCACGTAAGTAGTAAGATATCTAGATAGAACACAGATTAAAACGTATAAGAAGTAGTAAACTGAAGGTAATTTAATCTAGACATTAAATTTTATATTTATAAACAATATACGTTATATAAAATAATAGTTTGTCAGTGAATATAATTTTGAAACCTTTGAACATAAATTATTATCTACAAAAGTCTATAAAACGTGGACCGAGACGTGTTACGTACAACAAAACTGCAAATAATTTGTTATAAACATTTAATATCGTTCTGTAAACAATCTGTACTACGTATAGGACCGTATTGTCACTAAGTATAATTTTTTTCAATTTTTTAAAACAGATTTTATATGGACTGAAACGTATTAAAAATAGTACAATTTTAAATCCATTTTGCAAAGAAACTGCAAACTATTTTTTAATGAAAATTAGCACATCGGGAAGAGTAAAGTCTCCTCTTTAAAACGCACTTTAGTGCATTCCGATACGATACTCCGTTCCGGAGATATCATAAGTTGAAAATAGGGGTGAGTTTTTAATTTTTCGCTATCGCTGTCTCTCTCGCAGACTCGGACCTCTCTCTCACTCCAGCGCACTGACCTACCATACGGACAGTAGCGCAGGTCAGGGTTTCATTCATAAATACTATTTTTACTATTCGTTTACGCATATCCAGCAGTTTCGGCAAATCAATGGGCCGCGCGAGGCGCCCTGCACCCCTCCGCTTTCAACCCTTATATCTCCGGAAACAATCGAGCTATCGAGATGCAAAACAGTTCATTTTAAAGAGAAAGATTCCGTCTACGTCCTGAGTGCCTTATCGTTAAAACAGTCTAACCGCTTCCAAGTGAAATATGCAGTCAAAGTTCAAACTACACCGCGCGTCTCCTTATACGTGTGTGAGAAAGCAAAATCAAATAACTCTGCAGGTTTTTCCAAGGTAAAATAACGCATTTGACAATGCAAGCACGATGCGGAACCGATAAATACAGCAATCGTGTCGGCGCGGGTAACAAACCACCTTATTTAAACGGCTAATTGCACGGCGTGTGCGCGCGCGCGCCCGCGTAGCAAATTGGAAATAAGCATGGCGTGNCGTACAACAAAACTGCAAATAATTTGTTATAAACATTTAATATCGTTCTGTAAACAATCTGTACTACGTATAGGACCGTATTGTCACTAAGTATAATTTTTTTCAATTTTTTAAAACAGATTTTATATGGACTGAAACGTATTAAAAATAGTACAATTTTAAATCCATTTTGCAAAGAAACTGCAAACTATTTTTTAATGAAAATTAGCACATCGGGAAGAGTAAAGTCTCCTCTTTAAAACGCACTTTAGTGCATTCCGATACGATACTCCGTTCCGGAGATATCATAAGTTGAAAATAGGGGTGAGTTTTTAATTTTTCGCTATCGCTGTCTCTCTCGCAGACTCGGACCTCTCTCTCACTCCAGCGCACTGACCTACCATACGGACAGTAGCGCAGGTCAGGGTTTCATTCATAAATACTATTTTTACTATTCGTTTACGCATATCCAGCAGTTTCGGCAAATCAATGGGCCGCGCGAGGCGCCCTGCACCCCTCCGCTTTCAACCCTTATATCTCCGGAAACAATCGAGCTATCGAGATGCAAAACAGTTCATTTTAAAGAGAAAGATTCCGTCTACGTCCTGAGTGCCTTATCGTTAAAACAGTCTAACCGCTTCCAAGTGAAATATGCAGTCAAAGTTCAAACTACACCGCGCGTCTCCTTATACGTGTGTGAGAAAGCAAAATCAAATAACTCTGCAGGTTTTTCCAAGGTAAAATAACGCATTTGACAATGCAAGCACGATGCGGAACCGATAAATACAGCAATCGTGTCGGCGCGGGTAACAAACCACCTTATTTAAACGGCTAATTGCACGGCGTGTGCGCGCGCGCGCCCGCGTAGCAAATTGGAAATAAGCATGGCGTGCACTTTACCTTAGTCACGGCGAAACATGGGGGATTTTCATGTCGGCGGAGTTCCCCGTCTCGAGCCCGGTACAGGCGAGCTCCATTCCGAAGCTGCAGTATTACCGGAATTTCCACGGTCGAGTCCACTCCTACAGTAATTTTCATTATGTCCTCTGTTATTACTATAGTTCCTGGCGGAAGGAGGCCAGACACTACAATTTCCCAGCGAGACATTCCGTAACAGTGTTTTCGTTACTGCCTATATTTTCCCTGCACGGGAAAATATGTAATTAGACTTTCCCTTCGATTAGGCCGCGACGGCTCTCCGCGCGCGTTCCGTCGCGGCTGCATTTTCCCTTCGCACTATTCTAGAAATGACGGGCCACGTGGAGGCAGGCCGAAAAGCCTGCACGAAGCGTGCGAACAATGCGAGTGCCCGCGGAAGAGCTTGCTCGACGCTCGGTCGCGCGTCGCCGGATTAAAATCAATTTTCGCGATTCCGGAAGCTGGGACGGCCCCGAGTGAAACTCGGGACCGATAATAATCGGCGTGGTTCGTCGGGTGGTTTACTGCGAACAAATAACCCCTGACCTGCGAACGATCGTGTACCAAGTTGTCGCTCGAGGTTAAGACTCGCTGGCTCGTGGATCTCTCGGCGGGGCCGGAGGGGTGTCGCCGTTAAAGACACTCTCGGGGATCCTACGGCGCATCGATCCGACCGCCACGCCGTCCACGGCAGAGGCCACGCACCCACGGCGCACCCACACGCCCGGCCACTAACAGATAATTCTGTTTATTACAGATAAACTCCCGATGGTCGCTCGGGCCCGAGCTCTGCGACATATGGACCAGCAGCGACGTTCTCTGCTGCACCGCCTCGATATTGCATCTGGTGGCTATCGCGGTCGACAGATATTGGGCAGTCACCGATCTCAATTATATACAGGTTAATTAACGGCGCGTCGCGGTCGCCGGACAAACGGCCGGCACCCAGGAACCGAACGAATCGCGATATACTTACGTCAGGATCGCGTGCCGGGCTGCTCCCGCGCTGGGACCGCGCTCCAACTCGGGAGCCCGATTAGGACACGCCGCGATATTGATCCTAGAACGCGACTCGATAATCGGCCGCTCGACGGTGTCCCGTCCAGCCGCGGCCGGATCGCCGATCATTAAAGCGGAGGATGCAATTAGCGGGTCCGTTGCGTGCACCGTTCATCCCGGCGATCTTGCCTTCCTTTTTCCTTCCGCAAACACTTCGCCGGGCTCCAACGGGAAACCGTTTCACGATCCGGCAAACACTCGGTATTAAGACTCGGCGCTTTAGAAATTCTTTGCTAATTCGTGAAACGACTCCTGCAGTTTTAAGATACGGAAGTCGGATCTCGGCCGATTGTTTGCGCGTCCATCCGGTGTGCAAATGACCCTCTGCGCTCGAAGCCATTTTAACTGTAAATCTAAAATAATTTTTCGGATCTACGCTGTCTCTATTTTATATGACAGCGCATTTGACGCGTGTGAAATTGAGTCTTGTGACTTATTCAACAGTTATGCTTTTAACAGTTTTTCAAATCTAAATTTCCTTGAGGCAAGAATTGTTTTATATGATACATGATATGATATATATGATATAAACATTTTTTAGTGGTGCCTAGGAGTCGAGCGCAAAGGGTTAACCCTTCGTTGTACCTAACGCCCTAAGGCGCCGTTCGCCGCCGGTCCGAATGCTTTACTCGAATCGATGCATCGTAATTTGTACCGCACTCTCTCTGGTTGACGCATCGAGCACTATCGCGGACAGGTTATTTTATGCGGAAGTTGATCGTGAGTCGGCTAGAAAAATAATTTCGGCGATAACCCTTGTGGTTCATTTCTTACGATTTTCTTTTCTTCGGTGAATTTAAGTGTCCATTTACGAAAATACGGTGATCTTATCCTAACGATGGGCTTTCACGTCAAATAGTACAGATATTGCAATTAATTGGAACGAAATGCGTATTCTGGTAAACGGCGATTCAAGGTCATCATTTGCAAACGTTCGATAGAGAAGCGAAGGACCAGAATAATTTGCTAGCTTCGGACGGATATGCGGTTGTAGAATGGAACTGATAGCCATTTAGTAGCTTGATTTCGTGGAAGACCGTTCTGATTTCGGGCACAGCGGCGATTCCTATCTAACAATCGATCGAGTATAGCATCAATGACAGCGCGATGTTAAATCGAATCTAAATCCTCCCCTATCCCGATGCCGGTGCCCGCATGTTCGGGATAGTTCCCGGTCGGGGATTTCGAAAGGCAGGATTACGATGATATCCTTGTAGTTCGCGGAGCAGGCCATCTCGACGGAACAACTAGGTATATTGAAATAGTTCGGGGCAAGGGAACAGAGAGCACATTCGTAATTGCGATCGGGTTCGGATCCTCCTCTCTCTTGGCCTTTCGGCCTCGCGTAAAATTGGATTCTTCTTCATCGGAGAGTTTCAATAAACGACGGAATCGTCCGGCACGGATTTCGAGCGCGTCCGATCTCTGTTCCCCCGTATGATCCCGATAATTAAACGTCTCCCACCCCCAACCCCCGTTACGCAGACGCGATCGCTATCTCTAACGTCGGCGAATAGAAAATGTTGTCGGACCGAACGCGGATCAAAATATAGGATCGCGCGATCAGGCCGAGGAAGGATTCCCGAGTTCGACGGAGTTTCAAGGAATGCTCTCTACTTCCAGGCGAGGAATCCGAGGCGGATCGGTATCCTGATTATCACCGTCTGGGTAGTGTCTTTAGGAATCTCGCTGGCGCCTCAACTCGGATGGAAAGATCCTGGTTATTTGGATCGTATATCGGACGGAACGTGTCTGGTGTCGCAGGATCCCGCGTACCAGGTGGGATCACGTTATCACAATATTCAGATTCAGATGCATTTTTTACATCGTTCCGTGGACATCGATCCGTTACACAGGACGTTCCATGATTGTGTTAACATCCGGGAAAGAGTGATTTCTACGGTCATTTGAAGCAACTTTTCCCTTAGCGAAAATGCAATCCGCCGCTTTGTTCGCGAGTTATTACGAACACGTGCGTTGAGGGTGTTCAGTATTAATTACCGAGGCTCGCATCTCACTCTACTGACGCACCCATGTCATTTCATTCGCATGATTAGTACATTACATTATATATACTACACGATTTCTTACTTCTTCTTCTTCTTACTTTTTGTATCGTTATATATTTTTATTTATTTTTATTCCACTGGTCTGACGGCTATGCAGAATCCTCTTTTTACCTCTCATATTTATAATGGAGAGGTTCGTTGCCTATATAGACGAATAGAATTATTTATATTATTTCTATTATTATCATTATTATAAGATTGAGACTCGATGCTCGAACGCTTTCTATCCGTCCGTCTAAATACTTTGCAGATCTTCGCCACTTGCGCCACTTTTTACGTTCCCCTGCTCGTCATTCTATTCCTGTACTGGAGGATATTCCAAGCGGCACGAAAGCGGATCCGAAAGAGACCGGGGACCATCGTGCAACCACCCCGTGAGAGAAGAGGCATCCTCAGACTCGTCACAAGAAGGTTCCGCTACCCACAGCTATGAATAGACGCGCGTTAGGAGACTCGTTAGCGGAGCACCTTAACCCACCCTCCCGGCCCCATTCAGAATTTCTGCGAAGCTGATTCTTTTAATTACGCGGCGGAATTGAATAGCGCGCCACACTCGTTTACCCTCGCTGAATCCCTCGGATGCCCTGGAACTGTTTAATGCTCTAACAATTACTTAAGGGCGGACACCGTGCCCTGCCGGGTTCAGAAAAATCGGCTTCCTCTTATTTTTCTCGACGTTTCGAACGCGTACGATATTTTTTCGGCGACCGAAGGTAACGTTAAAATAACCTCGATTTTATCAGGGAGATAATGTTATCTTGAAACTTCTTTTATGTTTTTCTCGAAGCAATATACTCGATTCGTTTTAAATTTTTACTCGATCCACTTCTATTTTTATAACAAATTTTATTTTATTAAGACATTCTGCATAGAATATTCTATATTACAGCCTACGAATTGTCTCGATACGTCGAGCATTTAATTTTTTACAAGCACCCGAAGTTAAAGTTCTAGATAAAAACAGCTGTCTTTGAAATTCCCGAGAAACCATGCTCTGCATTCTCAATAATAGTTCACTAGCGAACAAAATTTGTTCAATCTAGATTTATTTAATTTAGTCCCAGCGCTTGCTCCGTCCTCGAACCCCGAATGTTCCGATCGATCGCGTTGCTTTTATTCCTGAAACACAGAAAGATTCGGATTGTTTAGAGAGCCTGAAAAATTACTATGTGCAAGCATGATTGAGCCGATGAAAATTGCAGGCCGAGAGAGGAGTCGACGGCGTTCACCATCACGAGATCGACGCCGGATCACTCGTCGATCTCGCCGGAGAAATCGTCGTCGAACAACGGGGCGAACACGACGACGCAGTCGACGACGGTGACGCCGACGACAGTATCGACGACCACGACCACGGTGGTGAACCCGTCGAGCAGCCATTCGACGTCCAGCAGAAGGACACGGGAAACGATGGAGTCGAAGCGCGAGCGGAAAGCGGCGAAAACGCTCGCGATAATAACCGGCGCGTTCGTGGCCTGCTGGCTGCCTTTCTTCTTGGTCACGTTGCTGAGAGCGACCTGCGCGGCCTGCGAGCCCCCCGAGCTCATAGCCAGCGTATTCCTCTGGCTGGGATACTTCAACAGCACCCTGAACCCGGTCATCTACACGGTGTTCTCGCCGGAGTTCAGACAAGCGTTCAAGAGGATGCTGTGCGGCAGTTCCAGGATAATTCGCTAGCAGTGGATTTAAAAAGTGTGTGAGAGTGTGCGTGATTGCGAGAGAGCGAAAGAGATAGATAGATAGAGAGAGAGAGAGAGAGAGAGAGAGAGAGAAAGAGTTAGAGGACTCGAGAGTCCCGTGTACATACAGTTATACTACTTCCTTCTCCTTCGGATAGCGTTCAACTAGCATGCCACGTACTTAGGCATGCCTTAGAGAGTCCGTAGACATTTTTCCTTGGATGTTGCCGTTGAGGCGACCGGGCTCGCGACGTTCCGCCGACGAGAACGACGACCGGAAGATCCAGGAACAACCGATCCATCTCCGCGAGGTTGTTCCAGAAAGAGAGAGAGTTTCTGGTCGACAGCGCTCGTCGAGCACGCCGCGAGCCGATTTTTCAATGCTCGATGCCTCGAGGCGACTGTTTCTATGATAGAACTTATCCTATGAAAGTTCTCTTTGAGATAGCTGCATTCTCTAACACGTCTATGATAATATTAATAATAACGTGCACCGACGAGTTGTCCGCCGTGCTTCCGGGCAATTAATTAGTCAGCCGTTAGCCACGGACGAGGATACGAGCTAACCGGAAGCAAAACGATAAGAGACGAGCAAGACACGACGAACATCATTCGCGACCCTTTCAGTATCTTTCTCGCAGGCTAAATAGTTTTTTAACGAATCCATTCGAACGAGCGTCCGCGGATCACTCGTCGGCGCGGAGAAAACGCGTTCCGTTTGAAACTCTGAAACGAAACGCTGAATGTTCCGGGCGGAAATGATCGAGACCGGGGAAACTGCTTCATCCTCCCGCGACTCGGGCCCGCCCGGACACGTATGTATGTAATTTACACGCGGAACTATGTACAGACTCGTTAACGAACCCAAACTCATTTCCTCCGTTGATGTTCGCGAGACCGAACCGAGCGACTTTCGTTCGACGATTAAATAATAGGGTTAGACGTCGGCGACGGTAACGCCGATTCCTCTTCGTCGAAGGTGGCGACCATCATCGATCGATCCCACGCGGCAGTCTTGGCGACGTTTTGCTCTTCTTCTCTTCTTCTGTCAGGGGACAGTATCGTTTCACTGTAAATAGCCTGGTCATTTAGATAGCAAGAACTGCCGAAAGTGACAACGACGAGCGCCAGCTTTCTGCTAGTCGATTCACGGCTCTCTCGACCGATTTAATCGTTCAGCGGGTAACATTTATATGCGATTGATAAATTAATATCTGTGGTCTAAATGTTTGACGACGATAGGCTGTGCGATAGGCTGATCGTTGAGAAATTAAAGGAAATGATACTATTATTATTGGTGTTACTGTTGTTATTATTATCGGTACTGATATTATTATTATTACTATTATTATTATTGTTACTACTGTTATTATTATCGATATTATCATTGCGGAAAATTGAAAGGGCGTCGTAAGTTAAATAAATTTAATTAAATTGAACGGAAGAACTAAACGAAAAATTGAACGAAATTGGAGGATTGACGGTGACGGAGAGATAAGGAACTAGGAAACGAACTCGTCTTCCCAAGAGTCAACAGGTTAATAGTGCAAGGTAAAATAATTGCCGAGTAGATCGAGCCCAGGTTCCGTGTCCGCAGGATCGTGCGATCGCAAGGAGATTTATTTTCCTAACGCGATCGAAGGCTCGCTCTCGAATTCGCCCTCGACGGAGCAAAGCGTTGCCAAAACGTCGCGCGTCACAGCGAGTAGAGGCAGGCTCATNGTGTGCGTGATTGCGAGAGAGCGAGAGAGAGAGATATAGATAGAGAGAGAGAGAGAGAGAGAGAGAGAGAGAAAGAGTTAGAGGACTCGAGAGTCCCGTGTACATACAGTTATACTACTTCCTTCTCCTTCGGATAGCGTTCAACTAGCATGCCACGTACTTAGGCATGCCTTAGAGAGTCCGTAGACATTTTTCCTTGGATGTTGCCGTTGAGGCGACCGGGCTCGCGACGTTCCGCCGACGAGAACGACGACCGGAAGATCCAGGAACAACCGATCCATCTCCGCGAGGTTGTTCCAGAAAGAGAGAGAGTTTCTGGTCGACAGCGCTCGTCGAGCACGCCGCGAGCCGATTTTTCAATGCTCGATGCCTCGAGGCGACTGTTTCTATGATAGAACTTATCCTATGAAAGTTCTCTTTGAGATAGCTGCATTCTCTAACACGTCTATGATAATATTAATAATAACGTGCACCGACGAGTTGTCCGCCGTGCTTCCGGGCAATTAATTAGTCAGCCGTTAGCCACGGACGAGGATACGAGCTAACCGGAAGCAAAACGATAAGAGACGAGCAAGACACGACGAACATCATTCGCGACCCTTTCAGTATCTTTCTCGCAGGCTAAATAGTTTTTTAACGAATCCATTCGAACGAGCGTCCGCGGATCACTCGTCGGCGCGGAGAAAACGCGTTCCGTTTGAAACTCTGAAACGAAACGCTGAATGTTCCGGGCGGAAATGATCGAGACCGGGGAAACTGCTTCATCCTCCCGCGACTCGGGCCCGCCCGGACACGTATGTATGTAATTTACACGCGGAACTATGTACAGACTCGTTAACGAACCCAAACTCATTTCCTCCGTTGATGTTCGCGAGACCGAACCGAGCGACTTTCGTTCGACGATTAAATAATAGGGTTAGACGTCGGCGACGGTAACGCCGATTCCTCTTCGTCGAAGGTGGCGACCATCATCGATCGATCCCACGCGGCAGTCTTGGCGACGTTTTGCTCTTCTTCTCTTCTTCTGTCAGGGGACAGTATCGTTTCACTGTAAATAGCCTGGTCATTTAGATAGCAAGAACTGCCGAAAGTGACAACGACGAGCGCCAGCTTTCTGCTAGTCGATTCACGGCTCTCTCGACCGATTTAATCGTTCAGCGGGTAACATTTATATGCGATTGATAAATTAATATCTGTGGTCTAAATGTTTGACGACGATAGGCTGTGCGATAGGCTGATCGTTGAGAAATTAAAGGAAATGATACTATTATTATTGGTGTTACTGTTGTTATTATTATCGGTACTGATATTATTATTATTACTATTATTATTATTGTTACTACTGTTATTATTATCGATATTATCATTGCGGAAAATTGAAAGGGCGTCGTAAGTTAAATAAATTTAATTAAATTGAACGGAAGAACTAAACGAAAAATTGAACGAAATTGGAGGATTGACGGTGACGGAGAGATAAGGAACTAGGAAACGAACTCGTCTTCCCAAGAGTCAACAGGTTAATAGTGCAAGGTAAAATAATTGCCGAGTAGATCGAGCCCAGGTTCCGTGTCCGCAGGATCGTGCGATCGCAAGGAGATTTATTTTCCTAACGCGATCGAAGGCTCGCTCTCGAATTCGCCCTCGACGGAGCAAAGCGTTGCCAAAACGTCGCGCGTCACAGCGAGTAGAGGCAGGCTCATCGACATCGTTTGTAAATCAACCAGATGATTGTGTATCGACGATCGTCCGATAACGCCTTACTATATACGAAATACATCCTATACTACCCCGAATAGTCATGCGAGTTTCGCCGTTTTGTCAGCTAACTTTACGACGAGATAAAGAGATAAGGAGAGAGAGAGAGGGAGAGAGAGAAAGAGAGAAAGTGAGCGAAAGAAAGAGAGGGAGTGAGAGAGGGGGAGAGAAAGCGAACGGAAAAGCGAGAAGAAAAAGGAGAAAAAATATTAAGGCGACGAAGAAGCGAAAAATAAATAACTAAATGGCAGTAGCGCGACGGCAACGCAGTTGTCCAGCGATTTACCTAGTTTAAGGCTGCGCCCCAATTTCGATGATGCATATTAAAGGTATGGCGACGATGTACGTTCTAAACGAGGCGGGAATGACGGGAGAGGCGGGTGAAACGGGCGAACGATCGAAGAAGAATAGACGGGAAAGGGAAAAAAGTACGTTTACAACGATGCTTCGTATGTATATTACTTTGCAATCACTGATGTAAATAAACGCAACAGTTTCAAAACGGTCGGCCGATTCCAACGGCCGGCGTCAACTTGATATTTTGTGCTTTGTTTCCCCCACGAAGACTTTTTCTGTTCATCAACCCGTTGCCTCGTGCTTCACGCCGTGAATCCCGGCCGGCGTTCTTTCCAGTTTGCGGCACGTCAACGTCGAATTATTTTACGATCGGTTTGCGCCGGGCTACGGGCTCGCGGCTGCTGAAAAACCTGCCGGCTGTAGGAACGCTCGGATGGAGAGAGAGAGAGACAGACGGTATCAATCGCGAAATCTTCGTTTCGGAATGCTGACGGTCTATAATTAACGCTGTCAGAAAATTCGATATCGTACAATGGCGTACGGTCCGCGGTTAATAATAGGCGCAACACTATGGCTAGACAAGCGTCCATTATGCTGAATGAAAGATGGCTATGCAAACTGCGGCTGGGACACGTTACACCGTTGACATTTGCGAAAATACCCGATTCACTGGCCGGGAAACGTCGATAACGTTGTTTGTAATTACCTCCCATCGGCGTTCATGAGTCAACATGCAAATAAATAAGGACAAGCGTGGCGAATGGATAAGGACCTAGCGAATGATCCCGAAAATCCATGAAGTCGTGGTTTAACAGTACCTTTTACGGTAGCATTTGCATTTTCTTTTTCTTCTGGAACAATTAAATCGACGATTTCAAAGTGTAAGTAGTTGGCATTGAACGGAACTACTCTTTTCTTTGTTCGAACGAAGTACAACTTTGCAGATCTCTCCGATGCACAAAAAATTTTGTCCTAGAACGAAAGTAAAGTGGTTTTAAAGAGGAAAGTCTCCTCTTTCCAACGAGCTAAAAAATATTGATCTACCATTTTTTGGTGCCATTCTGTAGCCATTTGAATCGATAGTGGACCGCCTTCTGGAGACCCGAAACGAGACAGCAAAATTAGTCGATGTTTGACAAACTTCAAAGGCCTATAACTTTGTTGAAAATGATCGTATCGCGATGATTTTTATCTCGTTTTGAAAAGCAGAGTCTATATTTTGAGAATATTTTCGTTATTTTGGTCTGAGATCGCTGAAATTTTTGCAGTAGCACTTTTTCTAGTAGTACTTTCTTCTTGCCAAAAATTCAACTTTGCCGACCTCTGCGAAACGCAATAAATTTTGTTCGCGAATGAAGCTAATATCATCTTGAAGCGTAAAGTCTCCTCTTTCTAACGAGCCCAAAACCTTTGAGCTACGAATTTTTGACGCTATTTAATGACTGATTGAATCAAAAGTGTGCCGAATGAGTTCAGGACTAATCTCCTTACTTTCCCCCACCACTCTGCAAATTAGTTCAGCCGATTCCGCAGGTGCGCCACTTTAGCTGCTCGGCGGGAACCGGCACTGGAAACCATAATTAAAAGTCGTGTGACCTGTGCGAACGTAACTTTGAGGTCGTGAGTGTAAACATAATTTAAAAATGATTAAAGAATATTTGCTAGAAAATCATCGGGAACAGCTGGATGAAATCCTAGACGAACCCGATGTCGATGTCTTCTACTCTATCCACGTAAAGTAAGTACTTTTAGCATATTATCACCGTCGAAGAACGGTCCAAATTCGAACGTTATTACTTTGCAGCTTTGTGTCATTGTTTGAAACTGATATCAATGTGGCACAGAAAATTTTACAATATCCTAGGTATTATTTGCCTCTGTGCGACAACGACATGATAAAAGCTCAGGAGGAAATTGCAAAAGCAGAACAAATTGTAAAACGAAAAGTAATTACAGCATATGTTTTAATCATTGAAAGAGTACAGATGTTTTGATGGGTTTTTGTGAGACACGGATGGACTGCACCATGTTACTAAATTATTTCCATCAAACTTTTGTACTAATTCAATAATTTATAATCTATTCGTTTTATCTTACCTATCCTGAATAGGTTCATGTCAGAGTTACTGCTGTGCCATTCACAGTTGACCAAGGTCAAATTGGGCACCTGGTGTCCATAAGTGGTATTGCGGTGAGAGTGTCGCAACCAGCAGTATTAAAAACTGTACAAAAGTATAACTGCAAGAAGTGTAAACACACCACTGTTCTAAAAGTTAGTAGAGTACACTGCAATTCTTGTGCATTATCTTCCAACAACTGGTAATACGCGTAACCCTTGCATTTTAGTACGAATGGGAGACACAATCGTTCCCAGAAACCACAGAATGCGAAGCATGTCATGTACCAAATGTAAAACCACAGGCAAATTTTGATCCAGAAGACTCTTCTGATTGCCAGGAAATAAGACTACAAGTTAGTTATTATATCCAGTTTCAATCTCTATTGCATCTTTTACACACTCTTCGCTAACTTCTAAGTACTTTCGATTAGGAAAAAGGTAAAGTAGACACTAGTAGAACTCTTGCCGAAGAGCTGCAGATCATGTTGCTGGATGATTTGGTAGATAAATGTAGACCCGGAGATAACGTTGAAATCAGGTGAACGATCGCTGCATGTTGTACAAAAACCTCCATGGATAACAAGTTGCTACCATAATTAACTGTAATACAATTTTAGCGGTATAATAATAAGAGTCTGGGGTCCTCTGGAAGTCGGTGAACGTTTAGAGGCAACAACCTTAATGCTAGCAAACTCTATCTCGGTGAGACGCAAAGTATCAGAATCGATCTCGAGTCAGGAAGTGAAAGATGTGTTCCTAAATTATTGGGAAAAATACCACGACAATCCTCTGCTCGGCAGAGACAATATCATAGCATCGATTTGTCCGCAACTTTATGGAATGTATATCGCGAAGCTAGCATTAGCAGTAGTCCTAGCCGGGGGTGTTCCAAAGACTAACGAGAGCGGTGATTATCCGTCGCATTAACTTTACATTACTTTACGTTACTTTATACTATATTCCGAGTACAAAAGCTCACATTCGTATTCGTACAAAAATAAAGGAACGAGGGTGCGAGGCGAGCCGCATCTTCTTTTGATCGGCGATCCAGGGACTGGCAAGTCCCAGTTGCTTCGTGCAGCGTCCCGGTTGGCTATGCGATCGGTGCTAACAACTGGTATCGGATCAACCGCAGCCGGGCTTACGGCAACTGCCATCAGAGTTAGTAATCTTCCACGAAATTCCTCGCCTAGAATAATCATCGGTTTAACATACGAGAAATTCGAGTGTCATCTTGGTAACAATCAACACAAAAATTAACACGTTCGCCGGTGTCCTTCAGCTTCTCGTTAGCACCTTGGGGATTTACAGAGATTCGAAAGAGATGCCGATTTCACGAAGTACCACGTTCGATTTTCCTAATCTCGAGGCACAGTTCCAGCTACCATAGTCTTCGCCTGTGCTAGACGCACCCCCAAGGCGTCAACCCCTTGGGTACAAATTCATTTGAAAAAATTCTTGCGTTTGGAACAGATATAATTTAATTATACGAATTAGACTCGCCATCCGCGTAATCTAGGCAAAACATCAAGTGCATGAGACGAGTTTCATTCGTCAAAAATGTGCCCAAGGGGTTAAATAACAACAGAGTACAGTAACACCTCTTCCGAGCCCTCTAAATCTTAGCATCTTCTCGGATGCTGTTCTCGAGCGAAGTGTTACCCTACTCGAGAGACGACGAAGGATTCTAACAGAGCGAACGTGTCGAAAGCAACAAGATAAGATACTTAAGTACAAGCAGGACTCGGACGGCTGGCATTTGGAAGCTGGAGCGTTGGTGTTAGCCGACGGCGGTGTCTGCTGCGTGGACGAGTTCACGACAATGAGCACCCAAGACAGAACCTCTGTTCACGAGGCGATGGAGCAGCAAACGATATCCATTGCGAAAGCTGGGTTAGTCAGCACGCTGAACTCTAGATGCTCGGTGATCGCGGCGATCAACCCGAGCGGCGGCCAGTTCGACGAGGATCAAGAATGGGAGACGAAGCTTGGCGATCCACTCTTGTCGAGATTCGATCTGATATTGTTGTTGAAGGACAACAGGAACGAGGAATGGGACAGGCTGACGTCCGGCCACATTCTGAAAGCGGCTTGCGAGACCGGAGAGGAGTCGGCGCAAATGTAATTAAAGAACCGCTGCTCGGGATCGTCGACGTCGTTTTTCTTGATTCTAATCGAGCTTCGTTTCGCCAGAGACTCGAACAATCATATCGAATTGCTAAAGTCCGAGGGTATATGGAAGGAGGAGTCCTTGCGGGACTATTTGTCTCACGTACACTCGTTGCAACCGGAAATCACTAAGGAGGCGGAGCTGGTGCTCAGAGCCACTTATCTCTATCACAGAGCTCGGCCAGAAAGAAGGGAGGAACGGACAACGGTGCGATTACTCGATAGCCTTATCAGGTATCACGATCTGATCGTCGATTATCTCCTTTGTCGCACGATAAATGATTTCTTTGTACTGGTGTCGGCGAATCGGCTCTTTGTGCGCGCTCGGTGCTATCTTAGCTCGGCTTTGCTCGCTTAAACAGGTACAAATGCGATTACAAATGTTCCTCAGACTGGCCGAAGGTCACGCGAAGCTGATGTACAAATCGAAAATCGAACTGATGGACGCCGTATTCGTGGTGAAGCTGATCGGTACCGGAAGCTCGAACGAGGTCGATCCCGGCTGCTCGTTTCCGGATGATCCAATGGCGGCGTACCGAGCCGAAGGTATAACATAATTCACGTCGATTACTCTAACAAGCTGGCTCGCGGCGAGAGACGAAGATCGATAGGCGTTAAACGTTCTGATTACAGGTGAAACAATACTGAGAACCATCGGACTGGAACGATTGTCGAATTTATTGTGAGATCGCCGCGGCGGTAACGTTTCCAACGGAAGAGAGAATGCCGCGCGTTCTGTGTAAACTAAAATCATTTTTATTAGTTCGTTCTTTCTATACTGCTTACATAAGTACAAATATACCAGCGTATTTATAAAATTTAAACAACCTTCGTCACGTAGGTTCCTCTCGTAACCGTGTATTTCGTACGAGAACGAATTTCTCACCTCGTTTCGACCGCGTGACGCAACAAACATGCTGATTACCAGGAATCATCGGCTCGATGAATTTCTTTTTAACCCATTGTCTCGCGTGCAAAATGAAAGAAAAAATAGATCTCGGCGCGGCGGATTCCGTTCGATTCGAGTCACGGTTGAACAAAAGGCTCTTGAACCGACCACAACGGTATTTTCCCATTCTTGGAACGCATCCGAGTTTGGACTTGAGACGATCAGATACAACCGGTTAATGTAACAGCAACGATCTAACCCAACGTTTCCTTAGTCTATAAATAAGTCATCGTTCGTTAATAAACGATCAAACATGCGACGGATGGTGGACACATACGAGAGATAGAGAGAGAGAGAGAGTGAGAGAGAGAGATGGAGAGAGCGAGAGAGCGAGAGATAGTGTCCGTTAGACTTTGACAGAACGTTCTCCCCGAGGACGATCCAAATAACACCTCGATAAAGAAAAATATGCATATATTTATATATATCTTATATATGCATATACGTATAAGATATACATACGTATATATGTATATGTATATAATATATTACACATTGCAAGGAGTGTTTCCACAGGACGTATATCGGTGGGAGAGAAGATTAAAGAGGACACCGACGTTTCAGTATAATTCATCATTAAATTAACGATTAATCGGTCAACAATGTCGGAACAATTAAACTCTACACTCGTGGACACGGCTGTTCGAGTTATTTTGATTTTCAGCAAGAACCGAGGGGGTGCGTATTCCCGTTCGAGAATCGCTCGCGCGATCGTCGTAGCATCGTGAACAGGTGCCACTAAAATACAAAAGCTAGCAATTATATGTATATATAATACGTATATAAGAAGCGATTAACATAAAAGAACGGTGATATGAATGATTAATAGACACGCAGTCCTTATGGTAGACGAATTGTCGATTGTCTCGCGACACGGTGAATGAAAAAAAAAACGAAACAAGGAAAGAAACAATAATACACTCGTCTCGTAGATTAGACACACACGCACACGCGGCCACACGTAAAATACACACCCATCCACCCAGCCACAACCCACACACACATACATACGGACACTGCCTGTTAATCGGATCTGAAATACTGTGTTACGAAACGAAACGAAACGAAAAGAGCAGTAAAGGCGTTAATGCGGGCAAGCGGTCGTCCGCGGATTACGCGCGCGTTAAGGAATTTTGCTCAATAAATTACGCGGCTCGACATTTCCATTTCCTTTCTCGTTTTGATCGCGACCCGACGAAGAAAGCATGCACAGGTATGGTTTCTAGAAACGCGAACGAAAACGGTGCTACAGCGTCCCGATCTCAATAATAGAATTATGTATTCCCGCGGGACCGTTCGAAAGTCTCACGGCAGTGCACGGCTCTCTCTGCGGTCAGGGTACACTAGGTTTTCTCTATCGGTTTTACTGAACGGCAAAAAGACATCAGGATACCTGAAGAGCGTCGCGACTGCATTAATAACGGGGCTGATCGGCAGCGTTCGACATTTGGGCGCGAACAGCAGACGCAGCCATGTTGCTCGCTGCGTTTTGCACGTGCTCGTTGCGCAAGAAAGTCGTGGTGAATTCCTGTTGTGCTTTCGAAACGCTGGCGTCCGACGAACGATAGATACGATGGATCTGCGAAATACACGGATGATTATACGGGTGCTCGGGCAACCCTTGCTGGAAGAGCTAATCCCCCCGTTTGCACCCACAGAAATACTATAAGATAATCACGTGATACTATAATATAATACTATAATATAATCACGTAAGTATATAATATAATCATGTAATACTATAATATAATACTATAATATAATATAATCACGTAAAAATATTCATTTTGTTCTACCAGAAACTTAAACTATTTATTCGCGAGGTAGAAGAAAACATAAAATGGGACATTAGAAATAACTGGACTAAATAAAATTTGATAAAAGATCGTATGGATGCAGATTTTATGAAACAGAGATTGTTGATGCTGAAAGTACCATGATTATCAACAGTTTTGTTCAAAGGGTCGAAATTATAAGGGTTAAAATAATGCATAGCTTGATATTCGAAGATTTCGGAGTTTCGAGCATTTAATAAAATTATTAAAATAATTGTGGAAGCTATTAACGCTGGCAGATAATATTCCGAAGCTGGTAATATATAGTTCGAGGAGTAGCAATTTATATTTTTAGAGAAATGAATTTTTGGACTTACCTTAGTCAACAATAGAAGATCGCCGGCTGCAGCGACGGCGAAAGTAAAGGCAACGAAGAGTAGCAGTATGCCGATAAAGATCCCCGAGGGTGACTTATCGAACATCTTAATAGCAGTTATTATACCGCTAAAATTGCGCAAGTTATAGTAAATCTGAATGCAGCGGAATTTATTGATTTTTAAAAAAAAAAGAAGATTGGACGCTTACCAAGTTCCAGCGCCAGGAATGCCTATAGACTGTATCGCTGTTACTATTAATTGAAAGAAGAAGACGACGAAGAATACCATAAAGTTGAACGAACTGTCGTGTCTGAAAGGGGACGATTATTTAATAGAATTTCATTGTGGTAATTTAATTGTTCCCTTTGAACAAGTAAAAGTGCTTACTTGAAGGCTCTGTAAGCCGGTCGGAACCAGCATAGAAACGAGAACGGTGTGAATAGTATAAGGTACAAGATTCCGAGACCGAACATTGAGAATTCTCCGTCTTTTAGCAACAGCACGAATCCACCGATAACGTTCAGCAATAGAACACAGCCATGGACTGTAATCAATATAGAAACGAGAAAGTAGATGGATTGTGCTTCCAAGAAAATTCGCAATTGTTATGTTACGATTATTATTTCAATTATTCGAAATTATTATTCCATATTATCTTACACATCCATAATCTGTAGAGTTGTCTGACTGTATTCTGAAAGTCTGAATGAATTTCCACCTCGATGTCTTGATAGAAGCATGGTTGGAAGCAACACTTGTCAGGTAACGGTGGCCAATTCCGCTTTGCTGAAATATTAGGAATTTGTCATTACTACGTAACACAGCTCGGGGAGAATTAATTCAATGTTTAGCATTTATTAATTTGGCTTACGGTAGTAGGCATTTCTCATGTCTTCTTCTGTCCTTGTTTTCCATTCTGGCTCCGGTCTTCGCTGGAGAAATTACCAATGTTTCGCAATGAGCTGTCATCGAATACAAGGATTTAAGGGAACTTACTTCTAAAGGAGGAGATATGTTGCTCCCTAGTGCCGCGTTGACGGTCTGCTGGGGTGTACGCGCGTAGGCAGGTGGTGGAGCCTCCTGATTAGAAGTTGGAAGCGTAGCAGGCTGTTGGGTCGATCCGAGTCCTCCGTAAATGGGAGGATTCGAGGCACCTCTGACTTGTGCCGTACCTTGTGTTCCTTGTTCCGCGAAGGGATTATAATCCTCCAAGCCTCTACTGACTGGAGTAGAGGTGACAGCTCTCCTAATTGAGGGATCCTGATAGCAAGAAAACAATAATTATTGCTCGGCAATAAAAGGAACAATGATTAGATAGAAGGGTTGAAAATACACAAAAGAAAATTCTATTTATGGAATAATGAGTCATTGAAAAGAAATGCTGATAGCACAGAAACAAACAAACTGGCAATTGTTAGATCGTATAATGTAATGCTTTCATTAGCAGCTCTATTATGCTCCAAAAAAATTTTCCGTCAGTCATTCCTATTATAGATAAGGAACGCGCACGTAAATACCGATGCGACCGAAATTCCCAATTGTAATTAATTAATTGATAGCCGAGGCGCGGCGAGCGTGCCGACGGATGCACAGTAATTCAATTACATATACTTAATTTCCATTTGACAGTTCTGCATGCAATATTGAACGTAACATCGAGTTCCTCTGACTCACCGAAAACGGGTCGTTGATGTTCGGCGCCCCGAACGGATTCTCGTCAAAGCCAGACATTGTCGTCGCTGTCCGCCGAGTCTCGCTCCGATATACCGCGTTGAAAATTAACAAGACCTCAACACACTCAAAATAATCTTATCTAAACTTGTCTACACTCGATGATCCATTGCGCTGCGGTTTCATACGGTATCGCCGGCACACTAGCCGCACGGCTTATCAGCCGCGAAAGGAACTGCTGCCACGTCTATAATTAGTCATCTTAGGCTCCTTCCACAACGCCGAGTTCGATATTAAACGTCGTCCCCAACGTGACGTGAAACGGCGCACGGAATTGTCCAGAGAAATTCGTTTCGGAGCTGATTCGACGATGTTTCCGTTCGGCGAAATTTCGCTCGACGATATTTCATTCGGCGAAGCCAGAGAACCGAGGGACTTTAAATACCGGCGATTTAAACGGGCCCAACCTTCGTCGGACCGATGAGTCATGGATGCAGAATGCACAGCTAGACGCCTCGCTTTGATGTGCCGCCGCGCCCCGTTCGCTACCTTACCGCCGCTGTTCGCATCAGCGACGAATGATTTCACAAGCACAGAATTTTTCTGCATCGAAATCGCTGGTTTTTACCTCTACCTTCTTCGTTCCTTTTTCTTTCGTTGTTCCGTGCATAGCCCGACAAAAATTCACACAGATTTTCTGCACGCTGCAGCTATTTTCTGCTGCAATTACGATGCGCGTGATGCAATTTCCAGGATAACGATGCACGCGAACGAAGTGCATCAACTTGTAGATCACGATTTGACGATGAACGATGAAGATGATAGAATTCCAGTCTGTGACTCGAGTACGGATGAATGGAATTTATCGACTGCATAGCAGAATCGATAAATGCGATTTGATAAGTTCGAATTAAGTTTTTTAGTATTCTGTGAGATTTAATCGATCGATCTGCAGCGTTAGTCTTCGCAGAAAGAAGTTGCAATGTGAAAAGACAGGGAGCAAATATCGTTGCTCGTTCTCTGCAAGAATTTCGCAGAATTGAACGAATTGAACGCAGAATTGCTGCATTCGAGTGCAACCGAATTAGCAAGAAAGTTCCAACATTCTTTCACCGATGCGACTCCGATAAAATCACAGTTGTTACACATACGAGTACAACTTCTGCTGCAAGTATCTTGCCGATTTACATTTGCATCTTCGATCCTCGCAAGAAGTTACAGCGCGAATGGAACCGAAGCAAATATTATTGATCGTTCTCTGCAAGAATTTTGCAGAATTGAACGAATTGAACGCAGAATTGCTGCATTTGAGTGCAACCGCATTAGCAAGAAAGTTCCAACATTCTTTCACCGATGCGACTCCGATAAAATCACAGTTATTACATATACGAATACAACTTCTGCTGCAAGTATCTTGCCGATTTACATTTGCATCTTCGATCCTCGCAAGAAGTTACAGCGCGAATGGAACCGAAGCAAATATTATTGATCGTTTGCTGCGCGTCGGTCTTCGCGATGGAAAAACGTAAAGAAAAGTCGCAAAAGCTATTGATCGTTTCGCGAAGCAATTATTCGTACGCGCGATCTTCGTGCCGTTGTTAGATATCTATGACAACAGGGAGGGTAGAACGCCGAAGTAGAACTCTCTTTATCAAAGCGGCACGATCTTCGACCCTGAACCGAACAAAATTCCGCTTTCATTTTACTTAGAGACGCTTCGTTTTCGTCCGCGTTTGTCGTTGTTATCCGAAAATCGTGCGCCTTATCCGTAGAACGGAATAATTTGCTGGTCGAAACATAGTTTAGGGATGGTTCTGCTTAACGCCAAGGGTCGACGTGTTGCGATCGGGCGGAATGGGACGGAAGCGGTCCCGTAGTCAGTGAACCTGACGCAGGCGCAATCACGGTGATAGAACAATAGATAAAGTAGTGTAATCGTATCGGGAGTAGCAGTCGCTATGCGCTTACCCCAGTACGCAAAGTGCTTTTTCGCATTGATCATCACGATCTGCCGCGCGTTCCTCAATAAAGAGAACCGTCTGAAGAAAGTTCTGCTGGATTTATCGAACGCGATCGATCGGGAGCGCCGGGGGTGGGATTCGGGGGAGATTTAAAATCCGACGGCGATGAGATGGATGGGAAGCGCGTGACGATTCTCATACACGTAAGTGCGCTACCAGGTTGTTGCGAACCGGTTCGCAAAAATTATCGGAACCACCGGCGAATGTAAACCGGCAAATTTTCGGCGAACAAGTCGCGCCGTGGATCGATCGTGGAAATGTCGCGGAGATCGCGGAGGGATCGCTAGGCGTTCGACGGAGCCATTGAAATGCGATTGAACGATTGCAGAATGGATGTCACATCGCTGGTGCCGGCCGGTGTTCTCGCGGGCCAAGTGGATCTGTTCGATGTCCAGGCCGGTTACAATAAATTCTCGGAGAACTTGCGGAAGTACACGCCGCCGGCCATACAGTGCGCGATCTTCTGCGGCGGATCCAGGTGCAAGTATGAGAACCCGAGAGCATGGCAGCCGGTGCACATGGCGATACAGAACATCTTTTCGCATTGGTAAGGCTCCCGCTGAAATCTCCGCAAACCCTGTCCGCGTCCTTCGAATGACTAAAAATTGAAAAGGAACAAGAGAGTCGAGAGTCGAGTCATAAAAATTAAGAAGTCAAGCGTGCCCGCGAATAGCTCGCTGTCTCCTTCGTTGAATCCTGAAATCAACGACCTCGGACGTTCCTCGGAAAATCGGCTCGAAATTCTTCTCGAAGATTCTTCTACTCTCGCGAATTAATAAAATTGCTGTTCTTTCTCGCGCGAGGACTATTGTCTGGTACAACGACGGTAATAAATAAATAAATAAGTCACAGAACGTTCGATTCGATTCTAATTGCTCGACTTAATCGATTCTAATCGCGGGACGATTCGCTTCGAATGGACGAAATTAAACTCAATCCCGCGTGACGGAATATATAACATTGTTAAATACATGTATGTAATGGCGTGGGATCAGTTCGCCGGCATCGATTTTCCGCCGAAATTTTCCGCTATTAAATGCAGAATGACGTAAGTTCGGCTCGTCCCGATCGTTTCTTCTCCTCTTCCTTTTTTCCCGTGCCACGACGAACCGAGGTGGATACGGTTGTAAGGGTTGTTCGTTCCTCAGGGTGACGGACGACGTTCTCGCGATGGCGCGGCCGAACACCGGGCAGATGATCAAAAAAGATATAATTGCGCAGTTTCAAGGGTGGAGCATAAAAACCATAATAAACCTGCAAACGCCGGGAGAACATGCGAGCTGCGGCGGCCCGCTCGAGCCCAGCGGTTTCACTTACGATCCCAACGTCTTCATGAAAAATGGCAGTAGGTATTTATTCGGGCATTGTTGTCTTTCGACGTCTACGATGTCGACAAAGATCCTCGGATGCTCGGCGAATAGAAGAGCGGAAGAAGAACAATCTCAGGGCTGCAGTCATGGTCGAGTCTTGTTTCGAAGATCGTCTTAGATTCGTTCGCAAGAAACAGTAAATTCTCCTTAATTGGTGCTCAGCTTGGAGACAAAAATCGACAATTTAGGAACAGGAGGTACGATTATTCCCAAATTGTCAATTTTTGTGTACAAGCTGAGCGTCAATTGGGGAGAAATTACTGAAATTCTGAAGAATCTTAAATTACTGAATCATGTAATATCAAATTACTGAGAGAATTAATTTAGGTGGCGCCTTAACGCTAGATTTACGGAGCTCTAAAAGCAGCTGTTTTGTAACAGTTTATAGAAATAACAATAGGAGATTCATCCTGATTTTTAACGAGTGTTATTGTAATATAAACACACGTATTGAATAAATGAATATAATAAATGAATAAATTCTATCTTTATAATCTGAAATTCTAGTGTTAATCTACTGTCAATATAGTGATAAGACCATGCTGAAGACGATCTTATAAATGGATGAGTTAGAATGATAGTGACATAAGTCACATATTTCTGAAAATGTTGACTCATGTACTAATATGTAATTTTATTCATACCAAGATGTTAAAACAACCAAGTGAAGTAAATTGTATAGTTACTACAATATATCTTAACCCTAAATTATGTTAACAACAAATTTGGTCAGTGAACAATACACGTGTTAGTAAACAATAACACTCCGTGTTTCTCGGATAAGACTCGACCATGAATTACGGTCATTAGACTATAAGTATGGTATTCGAGCTCTCTTCACCCCCTCGATACCAGTCTAGCAAAATAAACCAGAAAACGACGGCGGACTTGATCGACTTGTCACCCTTCCGTGGCCCAGTTTCGCGCGATTCCGTTGAAATAAAGCAGCAATTGAATTTCTCCGCGGCGCGATACCCTTTTCCGATGTATTTTTATCCCCCTCCAACCCCCGTTCACGCAGCTTCGCATTCATTGGCGTCGACTGTTCCTCCCATCGCGGATTAACAACTGGCAGAGCCCGGTCGTAAATAGAACGTCGATGGGAAATGATAGAAAGCTTCATATCGGCGGCGCGCTAGAATAGCAGCTGCTTAAGAATGGAATCGAGTCGATCGACGGGGGGTGGTTTGTCCTTGCGAGCCGGTCGAACCGGAACCTGCTCGTCGAATCGAAACATGCTCGCGGGCGGAACATGCAATGCAGCAAAGTCAGTCTCTGCGTATCCACGAAACGAAAGTTTTCTGATGGTCGCGGACTTAGCAACCGCGCGCGTGCTGTCTCCTCCACCCCGAGAAAGCTTCCCTCAAGGTCTCTCTGAACAGCACACCCTACCACGGATCTGTTGCAGTTTACTATTACAATTTCGCGTTGAAGGACTACGGGGACGCGACCATGGGCAAGCTTCTGGACATGGTCAAGGTCGTGGCATTCGGGGTGCAGGAAGGAAGAGTAGCGATCCACTGTCACGCTGGTAAATCGATCTTTTTTCACCGACCCAATCCGTGCCAGCGTTTCCCAGGGATGCTAGATTATCTTTCGAAAGCGGTCGCGCGAATCCTGTGCAACTGTTTCGCCGAAGCTACGGTCGAGCTTTCTGCACAGGGTGCACGAGGGTGCCAGAGTTCGGCATTGTGCGAATAATATTCTATTCGAGTAATGTTTCGAATAAAATTTTATTCGAATAATGACTCGAATAAATTCTTTGAACAAAGTTCTATTCGAATAATGACTCGAATAAATTCTTTGAACAAAATTCTATTCGAATAATGACTCGAATAAATTCTTCGAATAGAATTTTATTCGACTATCGTTTCGAATAAATTCACCGAATAAAATAGTATTCGACTATCGTTCCGGATAAATTCTTCGAGCAATACATCGCATAAAGCTTTATCCGTATAACGCAACGAATAAATTGCACGGATAAAATTGCGCTCGTCGTTCGAATAAAACGCGGCCGACTCCGGCACCGGTGCACTCGCTTAATCGAAGCGACGGGTTCCGGCTAATTATCAAAGGTCTCGCACCGGGTGCATCCTTATCAGCAATTTGTAACCTTTAAACGTATCGATCTAAGGGCTTTGCGCGTACCCCGGCCGCGAGACCGGTGCTTTTGGCGCATTGCGTGTCACGAAGTCGAGCCGGTGCATCGGGATTTTTGCATTCGCTATGCATAAGCTCCCTTGAACTTTCCGAGGGAACCGGGCAAAAATCGTGGCGATGCAAATCAGCGTAGCGGCACTATCGACGGCCGACGGGGATTACAATGCCTTTTCGGTTAGGCCGCGATCGACCGTCGCCCCCTCCCTTTTTTCTTTTCTTTTATTAATCGACATTTAATACTCGCGTCCATGGTCGGTCAATCGGATCGACGCGGGGCCGCGTGTTCGGCAGTCGTAAACACGGCCGGGTTCAATTCCTCGCGGTGGATTTATGTGCACGAAAAATAGATAAAGTCGGATAAGGAATTGGGGCGTAACTGCGGTTCTATTTACGAGTGGCGGTGCCCGGGAACCGGGAAACAGGGAAGTTGGAAAACGTAGCCGCGATTCAGAAAACCGCAGAGATCACGGCGATAGTGCGCACGCACGCGACAGGTTCAGAAACCCGAGCGCGATACGCTCGACTCGATTATGTCGATCGATCGGTTATCCAAGAGGTCCCCGTGCATACTCGGCATTCACAAAGATTACATTTCCCTCGGGGCTTTACCACCCCTGGCAATAAGTATTTCGCCAGACGCGATGCTATCAAATTAATTTGAAGAAAAAAAACGGAAACGAGATTGTGGCCGAAGGCACGCGAACGTCAAATCGACGGACATTGGTCATCTTCCGTTGTTTTACCAATGAGAAACGAGGAAGATTCGTGTCCGTGTTTCGAACTGGAAAAACAAGGAAAGACGAGCAACGGTCGTCGATTTGACGCTCTCGTGTCTCCAGCCTTTTAAAATGCTACAAATATAAAAAGTCTTGATAACTTTTCGTTGGACAGATATCGAATAAATAGAATATTTTAAATTAAGATCTTAATTCATATTCTTGAAGAACACGGTGTGCAAGAAAAGCGATGCTCGGTGACAAGCATTTGGCCAAGCGAGATCCTGAGAAAAAGTACGGTAATGTCTCCCTAACTGACGCTCAGATTGTGCACAAAAATGGACAATTTGGGAATAAGAGATACGATTATTCGAGCCTTGCAGCTCGTTTTTATAGTTGTCGACGATTCGTGACTATAAAAATGAACCGCAAGGATCGAGAACAATCGCATCTCCTCCCCCAAAATTGTCCATTTTTGTGGACAATCTCAATTAGAGAGACATTACTGTACATTCGGTTTGCGCAGAGGCGAACAATAATTTCCTTTACATTCGCGGTATCCAATATTTTCGTGCATTTTCACGTGTGCATGCAACGAATGCCGGTGCTTAATTATAAAACATTTTCCATTTTATTGATGGAACTTTGCCCCGCGGTAATTTGGCCCGGCGAATCGCGCGGACCGAACGAGGCGGATCAACCGTACCGAGCTCCGCGGAATGATTTACGCGGGTCGTTTCGGCCGAGCATGAAACAGCGACGTTTATCGCGAGGAATGTATGACTGGAATTCCGCGCGGAACGAAATTCCCGGCGGCGGATCGTCGCGCGACGATTTAATCTCGTTCCGAAAGTTCCGCGCGCGCCTCGCGTGCGCCTAACTCGGGATTAGGCTGCGGCAGAACGGACGGGTGTTAGCCCGGGCCAAACGTCCGCGAATGAAATACGCGGCGCGATGTCGTCGAGCGCGGTTATGCTGGCCGGATACCTCATAACTCTTGCTCGTTCCGGTAGTTCGTCGGCGACGATTGCCGCATCCGGTTCCGATTCACTGGCACGTAATTTGCTGCTGGAATTAGCGGCGGTCAGTGGCCGTGAATAACGCGGGAACGAATACGGAGCTGCTTCAATTAACGCTGGAACTACCAAAACCGGTCGAAACGACTGGTTCCTGATTTTTCCATTCATAATTCCTGATGTTGCAAAAATCTTTCTGTGAGAAATTTTCAGGTATAAACTTCCTTAATCGACCGATTTGAAATAACCGTACAAAGAGTTTGAATAAATATAATCTTGTCATTGCTATGAACGAATAGCAGAGGCACCGATTCCGCGCGATTATTCGGACAGTCGTTGACATACGGGTGCCCGCACGCGTCTACAGGGTATCCCAAAAATATCTCGCAATCCGGAAATGACGGGTTCCTTAGGTCATTTGAAGCAACTTCTTCCTTTACAAAAATGTTCTCCGAGGCACCGTTAACGAGTTATTAACGGAAAACAGTGACCAATAAGAATCGAGTACGGCTGACGCGAGGCGGCCAACCAGCGCATGAAGCCCAGTTCCGCCCATTGGCTCGGTCGCCTCGCACCAGCCGAGCTCGCCTCTCATTGGTGACTATTTTTCGTTGATAACTCGTTAACGGTGCCTCGGAGAAAATTTTTGTAAAGGAAGAAGCTGCTTCAAATGATCCGAGGAACCCGCCACTTTCGGATTGCGAGACATTTCTGGGACACTCTGTATTATCTCTCAAACGAATCACCCAATGACCCGAACCACTCCGCAGAGAGCTAATCAACCCTAAACTGTAGTAAACGTCGAAATACCTGAGAGGTCAGTTGGAATAGCGAGAGTGGAGCTGTTAGTTCAGTTTCTTTATTGGAAATCGACGATTCGCGATTATAGACCCGGAAATACTGTGCTCCGACGAATCACAGACTGTCCGAGGGCGGAGGGAAAATTCTCGTGCTACGGAAATCTTCGATTCCGCAGGCGAAGCGCGCGGTGTAGTTCGGGTCTGAAGAAAATTTTCATCGGGATCTCGATCGTTCGTGCGTACGGCTCGCGGCACGTGAATAAAGATCCCAAGGAGCGATCTATTAGCGAGCGCAGTCCCACTTCTCCTTGATCCCTTCTTTCACCCGTTTGGTTTGATTAACGACAGAGACGTCGCTTGACGAAGAAAAATTGCTCTTTCAGGCCTAGGCAGAACCGGCGTTCTGATCGCGTGCTACCTTATTTACAGTCTACGTGTGCGAGCGAACGACGCCATCAGGTTCGTTCGCATGAAACGGCCGTCCGCGATACAGACACGGGGACAGATACTCTGTATCCAGGAATTCGAGCATTTCGTTCTTCCTCAGATGATAGTGTTCCCTTTGAGCAGCGGCATAGGCGACCGCAAGCCATGCAGCCTCCAGTCGCATCTCAAGAGGCAGCACAACGTTCTGCACGGATACGAGCAGCGCACCTTCAAACACATTCCGAAGGTTCGATTTCCGTTTCGCACTCGACCCGCGAATCCGATTGGACGATGGTATCGCTGCGATCTTGTGCGAAGTTATATTCAAATCGAGCGATTGTTTTCATTGTTGTCTGCTTTTTAATTACAGTAAATTCTCACCAAATTTTTCTTCAGCTTCTGAACAAAAATGGATAATTTCAACTATCGTAAAAACTAGGTGCACGGCTCGATTAATCGTACCCCCTCTTCCCAAACTGTCCATTTTTGTTTAGAAGTTGAAGGAAAATTAGAGATGCACTCTCTCGGGTGCAAAGGATTGCCAGAGTTCGCGGAACAACTTTAATCTCTCGCATTTGACTGCCCCTTTTACGAATTTCCTTGGACAATGAAATCCGTAGGCAGTGCAATGTCGTGCAAAAATTTGATTAAACAGAGCAACTTGTATCTCCGTTTTGTAATGCCGTTTTATATTTGATCAGTGTGCTACTTATTCCTTCATGAATACGAGCGCGAAGCACATCGGCTTTTCCATCAAAATGTCATTTTGTATTTTATCGATTCGCTGTTTATTCCTTCATGAATAATTGCGTTCGGAACCCGAAGGAGTTACTCGATTTTAACGAATCGACGTTTCCCGGTCGAACTTTCGCAGAACAATTCTAATTTCCTGCGTTGAACTGTCTCCTCGCGATCCGGTTTAGACGATTCGAATCGCGGCGATCTGATAGAAAATTCTCTTCGAGGAAAGTCTCTGCGTGCAACGAATTGACATTTCCAACTTAGACGGTAGTTTCGCCCACTCGGGAACAATGATCGATAACGAGGATTGATTCCGTTGACACTTGTGCGAACGATTCTCCAGATCGTCTTCACAATTTGCGAGCGAATCCTGCAGCTTTGCGACTGCAAGGAGGACAACTCGCCCTGCGAGATCAAGTTCGAGGTGTCCAGCTCGTCGTTCGCCCAAAAGTTCATTTCCCACGTGTTGGAGAGACTGCGGAACAGCAAGGGGAACATCAGGCACTCCTACTCGTGGGCCGAGTCCCTCGCCGATTCGTCCATCGACTGTTCCAGTAAGAAGAGAAACTAACGGCGTTAGGCCTATCAGAACGAGCAATCAATTCGCGATAATTATTCAGGTTCGGCGAAGGCCTGTGCCAGCGGCAGTCAAGCGTCTTCTCGGGACACGGCAGACGACATCGGTCGGTTGAGCGACGTGTTCTGCACCTCCCCGGACACTCCATCGTGCGACTCCACGTATCCAGGTGACTTCGTCCTAGAAGTCGAGTTCTTCTAGAAGAAGAGAAATCCGACCGCCGGTCGGAAGGTTCGAATTAACGGGTTGCTTGTTGAAGGTCTGGACGACAACTGCGTGGACGACGTCCTCGGCGATGGGATTCACTGTCAGGACCTCATAGACAACGACTGTTACAAGGAGATCCAGTCGCACATGGACCTGAAGGCTGCCGCTCAGAACGCAGCTTTCGAACGTGTCAGCACCGAGGAGGCGATCAGAGCTCTGATCAGAGACAACGCTACCTTGCCCGATAAGACGAAGAAGCGATTGTTGGACTACCAGGTGACACGCTAACCCCGAACAAGACGTTCATCTCCTAGCGTAGACGCTTAAAAGTTCGAAGAGGCTGTTCGAAGATGGCTGTTTGGGATCGACAGGGTGCCCCAAAAATGTCTCGCAGTCCGAAAGTGGCGAGTTCCTCAGGTCATTTGAAGCAACTTTTTCCTTTACAAAAATTTTCTTCGAGGCACCGTTAACGAGTTATGAACAGTGACCAATGAGAGGCGAGCTCGGCTGGCGCGAGGCGACCGAGCCAATGAGCGGAACTAGGCTTCGTGCGCTGGTTGGCTGGGCCGTCTCGCGTCAGCCGTGCTCGATTCTTATTGGTCACTGTTTTTCGTTAATAACTCGTTAACGGTGCCTCGGAGAACATTTTTGTAAAGGAAGAAGTTGCTTCGAATGATCCGGGGAACCCGCCATTCCCGGATTGCGAGACATTCTTGGGACACCCTGTATATTTTCAGGCGGATCTGAATCACAGATCCACAGCCTGGCAGAGGCTGCAGTTGGAGACCGACTTGGACGTGCTCTCGGGGCTGCTGTTCGACTGGCTGGAGACTCTGAAGAGGCCTCTGCTCGACATAGATAGCCTGAGTTTCGTCGTGGTATGGGGCTCCAAGCCGCAACGATGCCTCGAGAAGCTGTCCCCCTGCAACAGATACGTGTTGGAGTATCTGCTACGGTTCGTCACACGGCTGAGACCGATGACCGCTGAGAGCCAGAGCCTGATCACGAAACGGTTCATGGCCAGCCTCACGCAGCAGAGCATCTGGATCAAAAGTTCCTTTTATCCTTCCAGTAAATACGAGATCTATTGTAATCTGCGTAACCGGTTGCCGGGACAGGTTGTTACGCGGTTCCGACGGCTGGTCGTTGGTCGAAGCGGAGAGGCTAAACGGATGATCAAATGCCTCGCGAACTGTCACGGCATGTTATGAATATCCATATCTGGTTGTTNTGAAGCAACTTTTTCCTTTACAAAAATTTTCTTCGAGGCACCGTTAACGAGTTATGAACAGTGACCAATGAGAGGCGAGCTCGGCTGGCGCGAGGCGACCGAGCCAATGAGCGGAACTAGGCTTCGTGCGCTGGTTGGCTGGGCCGTCTCGCGTCAGCCGTGCTCGATTCTTATTGGTCACTGTTTTTCGTTAATAACTCGTTAACGGTGCCTCGGAGAACATTTTTGTAAAGGAAGAAGTTGCTTCGAATGATCCGGGGAACCCGCCATTCCCGGATTGCGAGACATTCTTGGGACACCCTGTATATTTTCAGGCGGATCTGAATCACAGATCCACAGCCTGGCAGAGGCTGCAGTTGGAGACCGACTTGGACGTGCTCTCGGGGCTGCTGTTCGACTGGCTGGAGACTCTGAAGAGGCCTCTGCTCGACATAGATAGCCTGAGTTTCGTCGTGGTATGGGGCTCCAAGCCGCAACGATGCCTCGAGAAGCTGTCCCCCTGCAACAGATACGTGTTGGAGTATCTGCTACGGTTCGTCACACGGCTGAGACCGATGACCGCTGAGAGCCAGAGCCTGATCACGAAACGGTTCATGGCCAGCCTCACGCAGCAGAGCATCTGGATCAAAAGTTCCTTTTATCCTTCCAGTAAATACGAGATCTATTGTAATCTGCGTAACCGGTTGCCGGGACAGGTTGTTACGCGGTTCCGACGGCTGGTCGTTGGTCGAAGCGGAGAGGCTAAACGGATGATCAAATGCCTCGCGAACTGTCACGGCATGTTATGAATATCCATATCTGGTTGTTGCATATTTGATTAGGATCTTCTGCATAACTGTCACACGTCGACGTTGGCAGCGCACGACACGCGGGGCGATCGCCAGAAATATCGATTCACCGGACACATTGTGTCGTTCTATTAATATTATCGACAGTCGTGGACGGTGTACGTCGCGTCCCGACCCCACGTGAAATCTGTCTCGTAGCCCGTTTCCATTTCGCTTATTATTTATCTGTCGAGTCGCGTAACGAACCGAGGGACCTCTGATTGCAGATCGAAATTTCCATAAGCTACGCCGGGGCACCGCGGCGAAGCTGAACGAGTTTTTCGTCAGGCTGATGAACCTGATCGAGGAGGTGAACACGCAGGAAATGGAGAGACCCACGTGGACGTCGAAATGGGAACTGGTGTCCAGCCAGTTGGGCCAGATCGACGGGCCGGAGGACGACGAACCACCGACTTGAGTCGACCAGGTGTCGTCGAAACAACGGGATGATGTATTGTTTGCGTTGATATTGGCATTTCGTTCTCGAGAGTCGTATAATTATCAGTTGAGAACGGCAGTTGCGACTCGAGGTTTTTATTTTTTACAACGGTCGCAGATTCTCTCGTTCGGATGCTGTATATTCCAAGCTATAACATGAGCAAATAAAAAAAAGAAGTATTTTAGTAGTAACGAGCGTGTGTGGTTCGGGTAACAGTGTCTTTTTTATTACCTGCGTGACGAGTGTCACAGGGCACGAATAGATTATAGATTGGACATAGAAATAGACCTGTTGTGCTATTGTTGCCGAGATTAGATTATTTCTAGCATGTCGTTCCAATTATTTTTCAAATCGCTACATCAAAGTGCAGTCGTTTGGGATAATTGAGTATAACTGTGTAAGGCGCGGTTAGGATAACTTTTCGTATACCACAGCCAATTTAAGTTATCTCGAATTGAAGGTATTCGAAGTTATCTCGAATGTGGCATCGGTTCGGAGACACCGACGTCGCTAAAAATCAGAGGATTTCTCGCGCCATCTGTCAAATTCAACAGTCGGTTGGAGAACTACGTAACACTGCAGCAGAGATATTTTGTTTTTATTTTACAGTGTTGCCGGTTCTAAAAATAGAATGCTGCAACGTGAGCTCAGCAACGACTTTCCAGCTCGTCGAATCGTCGAGGCAAAGTTTCTGACCGAAAATTCGTTAATAAATTCATTAATAATTCTTTCATTGAGATGAATTTATGGCTTCTTAATGTTGTATAAAAATAACTGATAGAATCAAAAATATATATATGGAGTAATTTTTGGAGTATTAAAATAACATAACAACGACAAAATAACACTATTTCGGTAATTATAAAATCGTGAAATATGGATAAGGTATACGGAATACTCGATTCTGAGTAAGAAGCTTTCTCTGGAATATCAGATTTAGGATCACTTTTTGACTAATCGTGTTTACCATCCGTAGCAAAATGCTGAAACTTGTAGCCGTCGGAGAAGTTTCAACATATCGCCACGTATGGCGGCCCCATTTGGCCAAAAAGTTATCGCAACTGCACCTTGCACAACCTATACTCGATTATCCGAAACGAATGTACTTTTTAATACAGTTAGATTGAGATTTGTAAATCATTTCTTGTAGAACAGACCGACACTTATTTCTGACATATGGTCAAAGCAATTAGTACTCGATTATTTGAATCGGGAAGAACTGTCCGACGAATATGGAAGTCTCAAGGAAAGAATGAGATTTTTTGCAGTTCTTTTATTAAATATGACAAACAAGGAGTTCGGAAACAAACAGTTTAGACAGCTTTGGATCCTCAATATGTTCACGAATTGCTGTTTTATTATCTTTTCAAGACGATTCTATTAGATAAAGACTTATTCCTAGTGCTTAATTCGAGCTAGAAAATGCGATTCCTTAAGTCCTCTATGTACAGTATGATATAAGTCCATTTTTTTTCCGTCATTTCTAAACACATTTATATCGTGAAACACATCGATTTACGTGTATAAATCTTGTCGTACCTAACAGGATCGTATTTTCCTCATCATTTTAAGCATTATACAAAACGATGTATCAGTCTTATACAAAGAAAGTACAGTGAAAATTATATAGCTCTCGATCACTTACAATTACACTACTTAAATCGATAAAACCGAAAACCGCTAGATCCTCCGCCACCTTTTTTCTGCCGGCGAGAAAAAAAGGTTCGATGAAACAGCTCAAACTGGTTGGTTTTTCTTTCAGTAACACATTTAATTTTTCTTGGTAAAATCGGTACATTTTTACAAGGCAACTTATCATACAATACTTAATAAAATAAATCCAGACGATAAGGTTCTAGGAATTTTCGTCGAATTTAATTCTAAAGAGCTCGGATCGCAATTCAAGAACTTCCCCGTTTTATGCCTCGGCTTTCGTTCCGATTTTTTTCTCGTTCCCCTTTTTTTATCGCCACACGCCGCCTCTCCCCCCGCCCTCCCGCCCCTCCCCCCTTATTTTTCTCGTACGGCACAGGATAATACTGAAGGATTCGTTAATGCGAATCGGACGCTCGCGATCACGATCGAAGCGACGAGCGCGATGCCAAAAATATCGGTCCGAGAGAAACACGCGTCCCCGATGTGTACCGTGTCTGAAAAAATAGATCCCCGCGATCGACAGTCCACCCTCTCTGTCCCGAGACGTGAGAAAGTTTGTTCGTCGGTGTATACTTCCCCACCAGCCTGTTCTCTCCGCGAGGAAAAATCAAAGGATCTGTTTTTTAAACATCTAAAGCGCCGTTTCAGTCCGATACCCCTAGAATAATCTGATATGACAGCGGTGTGCCGCGTTAAACGCGCCCTCCCCCCTACCCCCGCGCTTCAACGAATTCTGCCTCGAAATGAATTGATCGTCGACTCGAGAGATGGATGAATAGAAAAAAAAAATAAAGAAAAAGAAAAACAAAACCGCTGGCGCCGCGAATTATCATCATCCGCGAAGTATTATCCGGCCGAGTGTGAAAACCGCGATAGTTCGGATTTCGAGCCTCCTCGTCCCGCCCTCGTCCGCATTGCCCACGCTCGCGTACGAAAAAATTTAAACATCTCTTTACAGACCTATCCGAAATATACAACAAACATAACAGGGAACGTTTAAACATGTACAATATAGAGAATATTCGCAAGGTAACAGCGGCCTACTATACAAAAGTTCGTGAAAACGAAAAAACGTCGTTACGGTCTCCTCTCGTCTCGTGCTAATGTGTTTCCCGTGTTTTCTTTTTTTCTCTCAACATCCTTTTGTTTTATAATTCTCGTCTGATCTCGAGCGTAATCGATCGATCGTCCCGATCGCGGCGGATCGATCGATTCGCCTTTGGGTTCGCCCCTTGCTCGTGGATCCGCGCGATCGTCGTCCGCGACCCGTTCGTCGTTTTCGATTGAAAACGAAGCAAAAGAAAAAAGAAAGAACAATAAAAAAGAAAGAAAGAACAAACGAGAAAGTTTTTTCTTCGGCCTAATCGAGCTGCCGGCTCGTGTGAGAATCGACGGTCGCCGTCGTGTTCGTTCCTCGGGAAAATTCGAGATTTCGTTTTCTTGAAAAGTAAAAATTAAATGCAGCCGGGATACGCGAAACGCATTCGTTCGGTGGTTCATCTCCTGTGGTGTAGTTACGTGTTGTCCGTGTTGTCTGATCGTGTGTGTACGTATATATTTATGTATAGACTTTTATATACCACACTATCGGTAAAACTCACTTCATCCGCAGAAAAATGTACGCAAATGTTCGCAAATCCCTAATGCCTCGACGAGTTCAACTATTTACAGGAGAGTCTTCTTCTATGGTATATCAAGTCCTTAATCCATTATACACAATACATATAGACTTAGATTATGTAATTATGTAGCATTACGTGAAAGCGAGCCCAGGTCTGCACCGGCCGCGCTCGATTTTTTCACCCCCTTCTTCCGTTTGTTTCGCACGTTGTTCGTTTACAGCCTGACCGCCGCGACGACGTTCACGCTAATCGAGAAAAAGCGGGTCTCCCCGACGATTCGAAAACGGGGGAGGATACGACGATTGACGGACGAATGACGATGGTGTTCCAAGCTATAGAAATTCTGCGCGAAAAACTTAAACGTCTAACTATTTTACAACCGGAATGGACAGAATAACTAACACAGGTACGACGACGTGGATAAACGAAACGGTGGTTGTTCTTGGATTTCAGATCGTTGCGCGGCGGCGGCTCAGAAACGGTGAATTATCAAAAATTATCAGCGACAATAATTCCGAAATGCTAAATGACAGATTATCTATCTAAAAATCCAAGAGCAACGGCTGTTCCCCAATTAGCTGGGTTTCTGGGAATCGCGGGGCTGTCGAAGATCGCGCACGGGAAACGCAGCGGCGGAAGCCTCGCCGATTAAAGCACACCTCCTCCGCGATGAAGGAGCTGCGGACTATCTACACGCGCTACCGTTCTCGGGAACTAATTAATTTACAAAAATATTACAAACAAACGTGTCACTCCTACGATTCGAACGGAATATATCACACACGGTCGAGCGAGTCTTCCTGTCGCCGCGATCTAGAACGTGCGGCTGTCGCGTCGCGGCGTCGTCGGGCGATGTACACAAGATCGATAGATCGTCGGCGATAACGAGGCGTGGATCATCGCGTTCGAGAAGCGTCTTGGCCATCGACCGGAGCTCGCTTTCGAACTCGTGTTTCCAGGGGCCCAGAAGTTCGACGATTGCGGCCCCCTTGCTTTTTTTTTTGGACGCGATGCTTCTGTCCGAACGACGATCGGACATCAGTCCCGTTTCGAAAATTCGGAACCGAGCTTGATTACGCGGGACTGGGGATGTGGGTGGGGGTGTCTTGTTTCATCGGAGGGGCCATCGACATCTAATTTCTTATAATTCCGATACGTATACGTATTAATATATGTTTATGTATATGCATACATAGTAATTGAATTTATTTATAAGTGTTCGCGCCATCCGCTTCGCCTTCCGTCCGCTCCCTCTCCGCGTCGTCTCGTTTCCTACCTCCCGATCCTCGATGTCTCGCGGCCGAATATATCGAGACACCTCTCGATAACGTTTCTCACGGTCGAAAAACACCGTCGCGAGCGCGCGCGTTCCCACGCGTCCCTCTATTGTTCCTCGCGCGGACACACCACCGTGTGATACTACTTACGAATTAATTGTTCTCTAAACTATACACAGCGCTAGGAGCAGCGGACGGGCCCCTGTGTTTGAAACGCGTCACTGATATGGGTCGCCGAATCGGCGCGCAGACACCGGCTCGCGATCGCGCGAGAGAGATTTTGATCCTCACGATTGCTTAATTGTTACGTACCGCGCGATTACATTACAGGCTAAATGTGTCAGTCGTTCCCGCGAGTGCCCGGCACCGCCGCGGCCTTTCGCGCGATCTCACTTCGTTTAATTAGCTCAGTCCCGGGCGGGGCGGACTTTCGAGACTCGGCCGCGTGTGTCTTTTCTCGTCGGCACGGAAATGATAAAACGCAGAGGAGGGGAGACGATCGGGAACCGAGTGGGTTCGTCGACAACGGCGATTCGAACGCCCCGGAAGCTAATTATTAATCGCACGAACTCGCGGAGACGCGCGTGTTAAACGCGTTTTAATGCACGCGCGCGCCCGCCGGAAGTAAGAAACGAGGTACGACGACGGGGTCTTCTCTCTTTGCTCTCCTTGTCTGCCAAGGATTTATCGCCTGCGGATATAATTCGTTTCCCTTCTTCATTTACTCGCTAATGCAATGTACACGAAAGAGAGAGAGAGAGAGAGAGAGAGAGAGAGAGAGAGAGAGAGAGAGAGAGAGTTAGAGAAAGAGAGAGAGTGTGAGAGAGAGATACATATTTATATGTATATATTTGTATGTATATGTATATAGATATAACCGCGGTTCCGAAATGAAACGGAAGGAGAGAACAGAAAATACATCGTTGTTCGCAATTGCTTGAGTAAGGATATGGATCGAAGGATCGCGAGGGTTCGACTCTCGTCGACGTATCGTCGCGACCGATCTCGCGCACAGACTACGTTGCGCGCACCGTGTTCCGCGTTCGTTCGTTCTTCTTCTTCATCTTCTTCTTCTTCTTCGCCTGCGTCTTCGTCGTCGTCGTCGTCGACGACGACACGTTATCTTCTATACGTTTTACCTTTCTGCGTGACACCGTTTTCGAGAAGTCGAAACCGTTTCGAAAATTCCACGGCGTCGGATATGATGAGTAGCGGGTCTGTCACGAAGGAGGAGAGTGGAGGATGGTCCTAGGGGAGGGGGGCGTTCCATCGTCTTTTCTTCGATTTGGCTTCCTCTCCCAAGAAATGCTCGCCCGTTCTTTTTTTTTCCCCGGCTTATTCGTCGTCGGCTCTACGGATCCGCTCGCGAGGAAGTGACGAGCCAGTCCGCGTTCCTCGCTCGCTCGCCGGCTTCAAAGCGACAGCTCGAACCTATTCGCTGCTCGAGGAACGATACTACGCCTCCATCTGATCCTCGGGAGTCATGATGTCCGGCGCCATCGACAGGTCCTCCGCCATGTCCTCGTCCTGGCCCGAGTCGTGCCCGTGGCTCTCCGGGTACTCCCTCTCGTCCACCTGGTCGTCCTCGCCCTCCGGCTCCACCGGCGCGTCGACCAGCTCCCGTTTTATTAATCTCGTCAGCTTCCCACCCTCCGGGCTCTGGCCTTCCTGCTTTATGTGCACGGCTGGTTCATCCAACGGTGACCTACGGCACAACGAGACATCAGGCTTTCGTTCACTTCACGGCGTCTCAGAATCGGTAACGTTTATTCTAATCGGTAGGATCGTTTAGGAACGTTTAAACATTTTTTCTCGCGACTGAGACTGTTACAGGCTTCTAGATTGAAGTATTCTCTTTGCAACGACACCTTAAAAATTGATCTACGATTTTTTTTTGCCTCTTCGTCGAGCTTTGAAAGGCGTACCGTCGATGTTTTCGGTAATACGCGAGGATCTCGCATGATCGAGTTCTAGAAGCGTTTAAATATTTTTTCTCGCATCTGAGACTGTTTCAGGCTTCTAGATTAAAGTTTTCTCTTTGCAACGACACCTTAAAAATTGATCTAGGATTTTTTTTAGTCGCTTTGTCGAGCTTCGAACGACAGGCGTACCGTGAACGTTTTCGGTAATACGCGATGATTTCGCATGATCGAGCTTGCTCGACTATTCGACTTGGTAGTCAACGGGGTATGGTAAGCTTCCTGACAGCTCTAAAGTGTTACTGAATCTTAACGAAGCTTCCTCAGCGTTCGTCGTCTCGAAGGCGTAAATGAGAAAGTACACAGAGAAGAACAATTTGTGGTATTAACAATTGAAGAAAATGGGTTGCAGATTAGGCGTAGGCGATTTCCACTCACATTAAGTCGTTGTGGGTTAACACGTGCTCCTTGTCGGGGCTCGTCGTCGTCGACGTGCACATCGTGTTGTTCAGAAAACCCATGTTAGAGTCCCCGAGTGCCGCCTGGAAATACTCAAATTGCATTAGATCGTTAGTCAGTATAGTCGTTCGATCACCTATCATTGAGACTACGGAAGATACGTTAATGGTAATCAACAGACTGCGGACTCTGCGTACACGATCGTACGTTTAGCGGACGAAAGTTAAGAAACATCGTTTTAAACAGAAGATCGTTCCATAAAACAGAACTAAACGACGCGAAATATTTTAACGTCGCTAACTAAAATCTATTCTTTTAATTCTGCCATTATTCGCAACGACGAACAAAAATTNACTGTTACAGGCTTCTAGATTGAAGTATTCTCTTTGCAACGACACCTTAAAAATTGATCTACGATTTTTTTTTGCCTCTTCGTCGAGCTTTGAAAGGCGTACCGTCGATGTTTTCGGTAATACGCGAGGATCTCGCATGATCGAGTTCTAGAAGCGTTTAAATATTTTTTCTCGCATCTGAGACTGTTTCAGGCTTCTAGATTAAAGTTTTCTCTTTGCAACGACACCTTAAAAATTGATCTAGGATTTTTTTTAGTCGCTTTGTCGAGCTTCGAACGACAGGCGTACCGTGAACGTTTTCGGTAATACGCGATGATTTCGCATGATCGAGCTTGCTCGACTATTCGACTTGGTAGTCAACGGGGTATGGTAAGCTTCCTGACAGCTCTAAAGTGTTACTGAATCTTAACGAAGCTTCCTCAGCGTTCGTCGTCTCGAAGGCGTAAATGAGAAAGTACACAGAGAAGAACAATTTGTGGTATTAACAATTGAAGAAAATGGGTTGCAGATTAGGCGTAGGCGATTTCCACTCACATTAAGTCGTTGTGGGTTAACACGTGCTCCTTGTCGGGGCTCGTCGTCGTCGACGTGCACATCGTGTTGTTCAGAAAACCCATGTTAGAGTCCCCGAGTGCCGCCTGGAAATACTCAAATTGCATTAGATCGTTAGTCAGTATAGTCGTTCGATCACCTATCATTGAGACTACGGAAGATACGTTAATGGTAATCAACAGACTGCGGACTCTGCGTACACGATCGTACGTTTAGCGGACGAAAGTTAAGAAACATCGTTTTAAACAGAAGATCGTTCCATAAAACAGAACTAAACGACGCGAAATATTTTAACGTCGCTAACTAAAATCTATTCTTTTAATTCTGCCATTATTCGCAACGACGAACAAAAATTACAGACTGCAATTTCTTAACTTTTTCATCCGAGGCTACAGCAAAAATATAACCCTTTGCACTCGAGTGGTGACTCCGAGGCACCACTGAAATTGTTATATCACGATTCAAAATCATTTTTATATCATCGAAGTTGAAATTGAAGAAATCATTAAAAGCGAAGCCTCTGTATGAGTCACAAAACCCAATCTCATATGCACAAAATGCATTTGTCATGTGAAATGGAAACACTATAAGTCAAAAGGATTGTTGTAGATTTACAGTTAAAATGGCTTCGAGTGCGAAGGGTTAAAGAATACGGTTTCTAGATCTCGATGATTTGTACGAGCTATAAATTACTTGAAGATCGGAAAATTTCAAAAGATTTCAAAATTTCCAAAGATCATACTTTCGACGAATAATCTTCTGAAATCTGCAGACATTGAGCACTGGCGAGAATTTAAACAGAATCGCGGCAGTCTGTCGACGTGGCGCAGGCATTAATCGTAAACAGTTACCTGGAGATTGGCGTTCAAAGCGTCACCGTACATGGTCGGGCTGTGCGTTAAGGTCGGACTCTTCGACGGGACACCCCTACATGATCGACAGAGAAAATTCGATTAGTGATCGTCGCAGTTCGCCTGTGAATTGTGAATTTCTGAAATATAGAAACGCGTGTATATATATATAGATAAGCTTTATTTTTATTTTAGTACTGTGTCGATGTATACGGGGGTGGGGGGCTGGGGTGGAATAAATTCTCGAGAGTAATATTCGGTTGGGGGTTCGTTGGGTGCGGGGGTTGTTTGGGCGAGGAAAGGGCGGGTAAAGATAGAGCTTCGTGTGTACAATGTGTGCACGTGTGACTGAGTTTTAATATGTAAAGGTATATAAAGATAGAAAGAGAGAGAGAGAAAGATAGAGATAGATAGATAGAGAGAGAGAGAGAGAGAGCGAAAATGGAAAGAGATAGATTTAGATAGATCGTAGAGGAATATAATATGAAGAAATGTATACACGAATATGATATATAAATATATATATAAATATGAAAGAGAGATATAAAAAGAGATATATAAAAAAGAGATCGGAGAAAAGAGTTCTCGAAAGACTCTTACCCATTTTACCATGATCACTCGCTCGTCCAACGATCGGCACTTGGTTGCGATTGAGCGAGATTAGGTAAGAAAAAAAGTGTGTAGACAAATTGTTGAGAAAAATTAGCGCTCCCGTTTCCGTGGATCGTGGTCGCGCGGACGTAGATCGAGGAGCCTGTGTTTGCTCTTCGAGTTTACGTCGCGGAAACGACGTCGTGGCTTATAAACGGCACCGAGGCTTACCTGTGCTTACCTCCGTACGCTTTCTCCCGTAACCGATCCGATCTTTTCGGTAACGAACGCCGACCGAGTTCCGCTGCCCTTTTCAATGGGCGAAGGCCCCCATTGAAAAGAGCACTTCGGGTTCCCTTGCAAACAATCGACGCTAGGACATCTCATCTCTCGGGCGCGCATCATCATCGTTTCATCGGACTTCGGACTTCGATTTTTTTGCAAGAGACAGATTGGCATGCGAATTGAAAAATGGAAGAAGAGAAAAATTCCGCCCGGAGCCGTTTATCAAGTGACCTGGAGCGCTGTGTGTAAAGATTTCAAGTGAAAAGACAGATAGAGAGGAAGATAGAGAAAGATATAGAGACAGAGAGAGAAAGAGAGAGAGAGAGAGAGAGAGAGGTAGATGAGAGACAGGTAGAGAGTAAAAATAGATAGATAGATATATATATAGAAAGAATGTTAGAAAACGTTGATATAAAAAGACGATGTTAAAAATAGTACAGAAAATTTTACCGGTGGTTGCAAAAGTTAGTACGTAAACCGTGAGGTACCTGAGTTAGAAGAGGGTGGTCGGTAGAGGCGATGAATGAAGAATTCCGTATCATCCGAGATTGCGGTTGTGACGCTTAATGTACACAATTTACACATGCGCGAGTAGCCCTGACACACATGATCACCAGTCACACGGAAAAAACCATTCTCACGTCGAAAAAGCGTACTAAAATGGTAACTCAAAAATAAAGAAAGAAACAGAGCGAGAAAGACAGAGAGAAAGAGAGTGAGTGAGAGTGAGAGACAGAGACAGAGAGACAGAGATAGACAGACCAAAAATAATAAAAAGAAGAACAGGCGAAACAGAAACGGCGAGCGCCCGTTTTCCGTCGGCGTCCAAAACTAAAAAACGCAAAAGCATCATATCACCTTCCCTTCGGGAACGCTGTCGTCGATCGGCAGTCTCTATTCGCTACGCTACAGCCTGTTGCTCAAACAGCGAAACCAAAACCGAAAACGGTACACGACACAAACTGAGAACTCGTCGGACAAACGCTTCGTTCTTTTTTTTTTCACCGAGCCGACACCGCCGGGAAAAAAGCATCGTAGAATAAAAGAGAAAAAAAAAGGAAGAAAGGTGTTCTCCGCCGGCGCGCGGAAAACCGAAACGGAGAGAAAACCGGCGAACGGAAAAATGAGCGCTTTAGCGGAGGAAACCAGCGCGGCGGAAACAGCGGCGTCGAATAAGGATTGTCGGCCGTCGAAAAACAAGATGCAACGAAACGTTTGTTCACGCAAACACTTTCCACATTCTCCCAAGACACTGCAAACGCCACTACGTAAGCACCATACAATTAGAAGCACAGTGTTTTCAGTGGTAGGATAGTCTTACGGGTTCATTTCTTATATTATTATTATTATTATCATTATCATTATCATTAACATTTCGAGATATTCATTCTCGGATTCTTTTCTGTATTTTTTTTTGTTCTTATGCTGTTTTCATTTTCATTGGGGACGAGTATAAAATGACAGATTAGGAAACCTTTGATTATCCATGCGAGCAACCACTAAACACATCAGAGATCCTGCAGCTCGGACCAATCGTCCTGTGGCTGGGTTCCTGCAGGATCGGTCGGGATTTTAAGCTCTCTCGGGTGTGCTAGAGCCTCGGGCTACGGTTCTAGTGACGTTTACGGGGATGTACTATGGGGGGCTGTTTTGGACGTCACGAGCAGAGGTGCGCAAGATTTCACCGACCCCGGATTGTTTCTAACGAGCCCCGTATAATTGCCACGTCCGAATTTACTTCCACGGTTTTACTTTTCCACGGTTTACTTTCCATGTTTATTTCCACGTTCACTTCCCCTCGACTGCTCCACCGTAACATTTCCTCTCGCGCGTGACCGAATGAAACCGATCAACACTCGCACGGCCGTTGGCGGAGAACTTACTTGAATGTGGTGGGTCTTTTCAGACCCACAGATCTCTCTCATAGTTTCCACACTCGGCTTCTCGGGCGAGTATCTTCTCTTTAGACTCTGACGTCCATTTGCAAAGCAGAAAACACAGCGGATTTTCGATCCTCTTAGCTTCTCAGCGATTCGTTACTTCGGATCTCAAGGTTCGCACGAATTTTTCGGTGGACTCGCAACGTTTCCTTGGGCCTAAAAAGACCCGTGCAGGCCGAGCGAGAGTCGAGGCATCCAGCCGCGGAGGTTATCACCGAGTCTGCGCACCCCTGGCGACGGATGAGGAGGATCGGATGGTTCTACTTTAGTCCGGTTCTGAAGGTGACGGGTTCTAAAAGGCGTTCGAGGCAGGCATGATGCGGAATTCGTTTCCTGGGGATTGGATTAAACTGCGTAGAGCCGCTCCCTGCTGCCTTGGTGGTCATGTTTACCCCGCGTTGATGTCTCTGTCGCGGATGGCGGGTAGCAAGTGGAATCGGCGGTTCCGAGTCGGACAACGGCGGAGATCACGCGAAACGCGGTGATCGGTGCTCGAGAAAGAGACCGATCGATTCTCAATGAACGATTTCGCGAAGACAGAGAAAAAGAGAGAGATAAAGAGAGAGCGAGAGAGAGAGAGAGAGAGAGAGAAAGAGAGCGTGTTCGATCAAGGCTCTTCGTCTTTCTTCCGAGAAGACAGAGAAATAGAGGACGGAAACGGCAAAAAGAACGGGAGAGAGAAAGACTCGATCGCATTGAACGACAAAGGCAGCAGGCACGAGAGGGCGTTTAGTGGTTCGTATATTCTTTCTTTTTAAAAAAAAAAACAAAGTCTTTTCTTTTTTTCTTTCGTTCCCGACAACGACCAAGCGAAAACCGTCCCGGTCGCCGCGTTCGAAACGATAATCCGCGGTTAGGTCAGAACGTCGCGCCAGCCAGCCAGCAGAATTCTAAAAAGTGGTAGTGCTTACTGTGCGGAGAGGTGGGGTGGAGTGGGTGATGGGGTTGGGTCATATTTCCTGGGGCGGCCGCGGGACAGATGCCGCCGCTTTACGAACTCGACGTCGTCCACCATCCAGAATGACCCGAAGTCGTCCTCATAGCGCACAAAACACTTGTGCAATGATAGATTGGTGCGGATCGCGTTCTGTATACACAGACAAGACCACCAAGAAATAGAGAAAAAGAGAGTAAAAAAGATAAAAGGTTGTTTTGTTTTTTTTTCTGCTTTTCGTTGTAGATCGTCGTCGCTACACCGGTGTTACGGTGTTTTGTCGTTCGTTTCTCGCTATTCGTGAACCTCGGCTTTCGCTTAGATTTTTTTTATCCCCCGCTTGCGTATCGTCGGCGAGCTCTCTCGCTGCCCGTCCGCGGGCGCGTGCCCGAGCTCTCTCTTCTCTCGTGATACGAGAGAGAGCCCCGATTCGCCGGATACGTCTCTCTGTGTCTCTCATGCAAAACCGTAGGAGCGGGTCGTTCGTCCGCCCGGCCGAAAATCGGCGCGATCGCCGATACCGCGCGGGACATGCTTACATTCCCCTTCCCCCACAGGTATCGAGACCTCCTATTCTCGGCTAGGAGTCTCGATCAGTCCGTCTAGAATTCGACGTCGAGCGACGACGAGCCCTCGTCGATGTCGAATCCCGGCGTTCCCAGAGTATCGTAACAAAGAACAGCGCAGGACTCGCATGAAGTAGGGGCGGATAAATAGAGAGACAGCGAGACAGATAAATATATATATATGTATGTATGTATAATAGAGACAGACAGATAGATAGATAGATAGATAGAGAGAGAGAGAGAAGAGAGTGAGAGATATATATATAGAGAGAGACGAAAAATAATCCAAAGACGAAACGTAAATGAGAGAACTAGAAATATGAAAGTACGGTAAAAGTAAAAACGTAGGCGGCTGCTTCCTTTTGTTCACTACCTGACCGAAGTGCATGATCCGCGGTTTCTCGCCTCTGCACTGGCGTGTCCCGCATCCGGCTTCCGGGCAAATTCGAGACTAGTCTCGGGCCAGAGACATTCCCGTAGCCCTGCCCGAGAATTCTCGATCGGTTAGTCGCTGCAAAGCCCACATGCTTGTTAAAAAGCAAACACACACCACGCGACTTTTAACTACGGTCTCGTTTTCCCTTCCACACGAGCAGAACCGGGCTCCCATCTCGCAATCATTCCAGCCTCCTCCTCCTCCTTCATATCCTCCTCCTCCTCCTCCTCCTCCTCCTTCATATCCTCCTTCTCCAACTTTTCTTCTCCTCGCCCCGTGAACATCATGATCATCGACACACACACGCGCAACAGCCACGCAACCACAGACACGGCTACCATCGCACACGAGAGGCTAGGGGGCCAGTTGAGGTGTTCACACGCACAAAAAGGGGGCGGGGGGCGGGGGCCAGATAGATAATATTGTGAAGCGGGGGGAGGGGCCCTCCCGAGCACAATTTTTCCCCGATGAATCATGCCGCGCCGGTGTCGAGCAGGGATTAGATAAAGTCACAATAAAAACGGATAACAGCAGATAAAGCTACAAGCTCGAATTAAATAGGCAAACACTGTTGGCTATCTAATATAAAAGAATACAAAGTTTCCGGCTGCGAGCTGACCCGAATGCCCGATATGTATATGTTTGCTCCGGGGGAGCCGTACACGACGCGGGCAGCTTCGATTAAACGGACACAGGCTGTGCCCGATATCTGGTTACCAAAGCTTTTTGCTTGGAACAGCTGATTTCGAAATCCAATGTTTGGCCTGCGAACTATTTCAATACAAATGTACAAAGATTGCCACGTGTTTGGCTTGGAATTTCATTTGGAACTTTCGACGTTTGTACGGCGAACTGTGTTTTCCCGTGTCCGATGAAACGGATAAAGAATGTTTACTCTACGATAACAGAGCGCGGCGCGGCTCTTTAATGCAAAATCAAAAGTTTCTGGCGTCGATTGCGGAAACGTTCGAGCCAACAATGATCGTTCTTTCATCGATCGCTTTGTCAAGTTATTGAAATTAGAATACGTAGCACCGTCGCCGTTCTCGGTTTCACTCGAATCATTTCGCTAATTTCTATTTCGCCTATCCGTGTCTGCCATAATCGCGTACAATCCGCTGGCGGCTACTGGCAAAATATTGTGTTTCGCTCGCAGGATTCGTTCGGTAAGATTGTTTCATGCAAGCTTCGATTTCAATATGGTCAGGCAAACGTTCGCTGTCAAATAAAAGATTGCAAAAGCTTTCTGCTCGGGATTCCGTCGGCGACGACCGCCGGTCGCCGGGGACCGACGACTTCAACGAATTGTAACTCGGGGGGCGGGGGGTGTGTTAGCGAGTTCACAGAGACAAAAGAGAGGCAAGCTTTCGACGAGCACAGGTTACCGATGCGAGCGAGGTGTGAGGAAAAGAAACGGCGTGCACGCGCGCACACGCGCCGTGATCTACTCGCAGAAACAGGTACTAGAGAGAAAGAGAGAGAGAGAGCGAGAGAGAAAAAGAGAGAGAAAGGCATACAGGTATATTACACAGGTGGAAAACGAGAAATCAAGATTAAATAGGCGGGGCTCTAATCGAGGTACGCGTAATCCATGGAGAAAAAAGAATGCAGAAAGCGTGCGTGTATGTGCGTATACATACAATAGGAGGCTTGCACACGCGCGCGCGATTGCGCCGCACACACGCTTAAACCTTATTGAATAGAGAGAAAGAGAGATAGATAGATAGATAGATAGACAGATATAGACAGAGAGACAATGTACAATAAGACAAAGTAGCTATGAATAGTAAATACTTGAATATAGAAAAAAGCTAGATAAATATATATATATATGTAAAAGTATGTAAAAAGAGAGATATTAAAACACTATAAAATGTATATATACATATAGAAACACGAATATATACACGTATATATATATAATATATATATACATATATAAAAATTGTGGTAAACATATGTAAAGGACTAGTATACGTCGTACACGTACATGTACACATACGGGGAACTGGTCCGAAAAAAACGACCTGCAGAAATCCGGCGATAAATGTGTACGTGTACGTGGACGAGTGGATTAGGGGTAGTTAGCGTAAATGTAACAAGAGAGTAAAAGCGAATAGAGGTGAAGTATGTATAAATACACATATAAATATCTATAAATATATAAAAAGACATAGATAGAAAGAGAAGAAATATATAGAGATATTAAAAAACGGGGATCTCGTTGGCGGTGGATCGTTTTGGGCCGGGAAAATAGTGGGGGTGGAACGGTGGGATGCGACCGAAAATTTCGTGAGGGTGTATATATATATATATAAATATATGTATATACATATAAGTAGTATATATATATCCGGTGGTTTCATGGGGTGTCAGGGGGGGCAGGAGAATATACATATTACGTGATATCGAAAAGAGATAAAGAATAGAGATAGAGAATAGATATATAATATCATAAATATCTATAATATATAATAATAATATATATATGTAGAGAGAGAGAGAAAAGATGGAGTGATAAAATAGAGTGAAAAAAATCGCGGCTGTAAATCTGTTTCTATTTTCGTTCATATTTTCTTTCTTTTTTTTTGTTGTCGGTGGGACGGGGGCGGGGGGCAACGTACCCGGTCGTGCTGCAAGCGCGTTGAGGACGTCTCTTGTAAAACTCCACTTCGTCCACCGTCCATACGGCGCCTTTCACGTTTTCGACTCGCATGAAACATTTGTGGAGAGACAGGTTGTGTCGCACTGCGTTCTATACAAAATAATACACAGACTAAATAAGCAACGCAAAAAACGAACGGAAGCGAACTCAATCGCGAGGCCGGCTGTCGATCGGGGCCGATCGGTTCGACGGCGTGTATTATTCAGGCGGCTGATCATCCTCGAGCATCGGACACACGACGAGATCGTGGTGATGATGATGATGACGATGATGATGCGACCGACACGCAGCGAACTGACGGGAGCAGGGCGAAGAAGGAGGAGGAGGAGGTGAAGGTGGAGGAATAGGGGGATTAGGCTGGACGAGATCCGTTCTCCTCTCGAGGTGATGGACGGAGCGCAGGGTGGCGGGGGACGTGTGACTTTGAATTTGCGGGGCTGTGAAACGGTCCACCTGGGGACCGGGTGCGAATCGACCGATTTTCTTTTCTTTCCCTTCTCTTTTCTGACAAGCTGTTTCGTGTGTTTTTGGGGGAGGGATGCGTCCACGGACTGTCACCGTCGCGAATCTTCCCCGTTTCTCAGACTCGAATCGTCGCTCGGAAGCGAACATACTACTTCGCTCGATCATTAAATCTCAATTATCTCAGTTACTGCGAGAAAAGAACACCGAGGAGAGAATGTCGTAGCACGGAGTCGATTGAAAATGTAAAGTGGCTCGATCACCGAGCGGATATATATTTTAATTATCGTCATTACATCGGCGATGGCGGAAGAGTCCCGGAGGCGGCAGTCCGCGCGCGGGCAGTCTCGAAAGAGCAACTGAACGAGTCGGTCGAAAGGAGCAAGAAAGCTGAAAGAATCGATCAACTGATGGAGAATAAGAATTAGTATACGTCGTGTGAGAGCAGCAAAGGATTACCCGGCGATGGTCGCGCAATGACAAGGCCGTAAGAGGACATAACGAACCAAAACGATTAATCGAAAGATACACGGTATGTGGCATTCCTTAATCGTTAATGCACAGCTAGTCATCTAAGTCTAGGGGCAACGACAACAATCATACATGCCGCAGGGCCGTACAAAATTCCAAAAGAAGAAGAAGAAGTAACGAAAGAAAAATAAAATAAAATAAATAAAGTAAATAAAGAAAAATAAACAGTAGAAACAAAGAAATCAGGATGAAATTGTCCGGGACGTCGTCGGCGCCGGCGTCTCCCGCCGCCGTGGACCGGAAGTGCGACGACGCCCAGCTGACGTATCCAGCGGCTTCTCCTTCCGCTCGATGGCTCGATCCGCTTGCGAATACCTGTGCTTTGCTTTCGAAAATTTTCAGATACACATAACCATGCGAGGCGAAGCGTCATGGCAAACGTCGATTACTTCCACGCACACTCGCACACACGCAGAACACACGCGCGCGCGCACCCATTCTTGCCAACGAACGGTCCCCGTGGGATCGCAATACGACTCGATCGTGGCTCTCGATCGTTGCGGATCTCGATCGCGGAGAGACTCGATTGCTCTCGATGCGAGAGTTCGAGCAAACTCGGGGACTCTAGGCGGTCAGCCGGTTCAAGGATGACTCGGAAAACGGAACAAGATACTAAAATCAACGTTTCGTAGGAAACTGACCGGGGGGGCCATCCTGTGAGTCGATCGGGTCGCTCAAAGTTAGTACAGTAATGTCCCCCTTACTGACGCCCAGTTGTCCGCGAAAATGGACAATTTGGGAAGAGGAGATACGATTATTCGAGCCCTGCGGTTTATTTTTATAGTTATAAATTGTCCACAATCGATCTACACTGGCACCCCAATCTATCAGGAAATCCATCCTACTAGTCTCAGTAACTGGTCCAAAATTTTGCTATGGACCTAGGTGGACCAGTTACTGAGACTAGTGGAATTCATTTTCCGGATTTTTGGGATATGTCCGGAAATCCATCCCACTAGTCTCAGTAACTGGTCCACCTAGGTAAATAGCAAAATTTTGGACCAGTTACTGAGACTAGTAGAATTCATTTTCCGAATTTTTGGAGGTCCGAGGGCATGTGATCACTTCATCTCTACAGAACACTAAAATGAATTTTTTTTCACTCAGTAGCTGGTTCCTCTAGGTTGATAATAAAATTTTAAAATTTTTTTTAAACCGCAAGGCTCGAATAATCGTATCTCCTCTTCCCAAATTGTCCATTTTTGTGCACAATAATCTTAGCGTCACACAGTTAGGGAGATATTACTGTATTACTTTTTGCTACGAATCGCTGGATCGTTGCGAGACGCCGCAGTTCGGTCGTCCTTGAGCGACCAGCGAATCTATTCGGATGCGACTTGTACTTGGCCTCTGTGAGAGAACAGAAGCGAACCGAATCCGCGATGCAGATCCTTGAAACCCGATAGGGCGAGGCTGGTCGCGCGCGTTTCGGGCTCGGTGTGTTTCGTTGGAGAACGAAATGAGAAACACGGCGACCTTCCTCGTCTAGGAAACAAGGTATGCGTATCGCGCGGCGCGTCACGTTCGCTGTCGAACACGTGAGCAGAGATACGACACGATATACGCGCGGACAGTCCACGAACGAATCGTAATGCGGCGTAATAGTAATAATCCACACGGTCGCCGAGTCTCCCCCGTTTAACCGGGAAAGCAACACAATGATCGTTACCAGCTCGTCTGCTCGGCGCGTCACTTAGCCTGTTAATTCAAATTAATACGTAAGATTATCTGAGATTCTTGAAAGCTCATCCTTTCTAGTTAAACGCATTCAGCTTAATCTGCTCGTAAATGCAAATTGCCACGGCCAGTCGTTTCGTCTTTGTGGCTCGCAATCAAAAACGTTGCATAACTCCCGGAGCCACGCTGAGTTCATCCATTCAGCGGATGAATTTATATCCGTGTCCAGGCTCGCGCGTAGACACGCGCGCTCTGCCGACCGGGGGTTTTTCGGTTTGCCCGGCGCGCTGCGTTTCCGGGCCGCCCGAGAGATCAATGATCTATATATTCTCCCTTGAAAGTTCACGAATCTAATATCGTCGCGCGCGCGCCTCCCGTAAATTATTCCTGGAACACGGCTCCGTCGCCGAATACGCGCGTGAATTTTCGAAAGAATCCGGTCGCCGAAAATTCTATCGATTCCGGCCGTCGCGGATGCGCTCGAAAGGAGGAACACGCCGACCCCTGTTGTCCGTCTATATGCATAGAACAACGTCTATAATCCGTCCGCGGATTCCCTGTTCCTTTTCTCACGGGGACTCACTCCTGCGAGCCTGTAACGCTTAACTGTTTAATTGTAGTGCAAACGATATACCTTCCACGTGGCCGCGTTGCGCCGGAAGTAGCAGAACGTGTTCTGGAACCAATTGTAGATCTCGTTCAGCGTCAGCTGCTTCTCCGGCGACTCGATGATCGACTGCGAAAACAGAAATCGTAGCTGAGAACCGCGTCTTTCCGCGCTTTTGATTAAACCGTTCCGGGCCGATATATCGCGGCTCAATTATTCAATCGACGCGAGAAACGGAGAGCCTCCTCCTCACTCTCGTGCAAGAGGTTCACTCACCTGCCGGATCAATGATGCATACGTGAACGGCGGTCTGACGTCTGCGTTCTTGTAAAATTCCCTATTTCGTTGAATCTCTGAAACGTCAACGATCATCAGGTTTATTCCTTTACGCGGGTCGCGAGAGGCTGCGGGGAGGACTGCGCGCGGTGCCTCGCCGCGGCTGGCTTTTATCGGTGCACCATCTCTTTCGCGCGGGGGCCTCCGATTGGCCGGATTCACGACAAACAAGCACACAACCTCGGGGACCAGCTAGACGGGGGGAATTTCGTTCGAAGAGATGGACAAAACGGGGCCAAAAGTGTCCCGAACGGCGTGCCGGGTTTCACGCGTTCTCGTCGGACGAGGGCAGAAGATTCGGCGGACCGTTCGCGACTCGAGATGTTCGGTGTCTCTTTTTCATTCAGGCATTTATTCTGCAGACTATTTTAATTATTCCATCAGAAATTATTATTATTATTATTACTAACGAAAGTACGAAGTACGGTTCATTTCAATCGAGAACTGAGAAATCAGTGTAGGTCCACTTTTCTCTGGAAATGAGTTCCGCAGCGTCTTTATCACAGAATTTTCCGGTCGATAAATCAATATAGTCAAATTCTTATCTATTCGTATTGTATAATAAGGCTCTATAGCTTGTCCCTATGCTTATATTAACGACGAAATTACTGGACAGAATTGACGGTATTATTATTTCCAAAAAGACGTTCACGTTGTTGTTTCGTTTCTGTTCTGATTAAGATTATTTTCTCGTCATCTTGTAATAAAAATAGCACTTTGAATTATCAGCGGCATCGTTATGTTCGTACAGCCAATTTGCAAGATCCTTATTCATCTCAATTCCAAGGTTAATGAACTCACGCCCTTGCGAACTTACACCTTACGCCGTTTTCGTGCACGGTGTGCGCCGAAATCTGCCGCAGGCGAATTCAAGGGTCAATTAAAAGAATCCACCGAATCTTTTGCAGTCGATCGAACGATGAGGTCCGGCGGAGTTTGGCATGCTCGGAAAATAAATACGGGCGTGTACTCTTAAAACTAGATCAAAGGGTAAGCGAAAAGCGATCGACGGTTTCCGGGATGGGATAGCTGCGGACAGAGTTTGTTTCCTCGTTAGAGAGATCGTAGACGAGGTGGTATCCGTCTTGGCGAGTTAGATCTACGAGTGGGAAGGGTGAAGAAGGGTTCTCGAGCATGCAAGGGTGCACCCTCCAAGAAAATCCTTAAAGCCACCAAAGGAGCGTGGAAAGAAGGTTGACAGTACCTTGTTGGACGTCAAGGCCAGCACGCTCCAGCATGTAGGGCAGCCCTACACGGTGGGGAGGGCGGGCAGCACAAGAAATAAGGAAACAACAGAAGCATCGGTAAGAAAGAGGTGAACGAGCCGACGGTCGTGTTATAGAAATCGATCGTGCGTGTTCTATTTTTTCTTTTTGCTTTTTTTCCGTTCTCCCGTCTCCGTATCGTTTCCACATTTTCTTTTCGCGCGGCAGTCGTTTTCAATCGTTTCGTTTGACTTTCGTTTCTCTTTGACTTTTTTTCTTGCGCCTTTTGCTCTCTCTACCAAAGACATCGTCGTTCCACGAGTCGCCAACAAGGTGTCGAACACAGGTAGCACACACGTGAGATCGTTATCGTGAGCAAATCTGTGCATGTGGTAGAGCTTACGATAGGAAAAGGCACGAGATCAAGAGAGAGAGAGAGAGAGAGAGTAAGAGAGGACCGTAAAGAGCCATTTGCTACAGGATTTTCGTTTTGTCGGGGCGCAGTTAGGCGAGAGCGAGCCGGGAAATGCTTCTCTCGACATCAATTTCCATATTCTCTTCGCGTCATAATGTCACCTTCCGAGTGAAATTATGTGTTACGTTCACGCCGAGCATTTCACAGATCGCCCATCTCCCCGACAGAATTCTTGGTTAAATCGTTACCTTCGTTAATATCTATTCCAGATCTATCGACGGCTACTCTGCGCCTTACAGTGCCCTCGTCATACAGTCCTACGGATAGTATTCAATCTCTGAATTGTCTTTCGTTTCACCTTCTCCGCGACGTCGATCCAGCCTTTCTTTTTCGTGCGCGCCGAATCGTCGCGAAATCGACTTATCGAACTCTCGGATTTCAAAATTCCGTAATCCCTCTGCTAATCTAATCGTCGCCGCAATCGGACCATTATTTCTCTGGCGCTGGTAAAACGTAAGATCCTTCTCTCGCAAGATCCAAAGATCGTCTCGCCGACTGCGCTCGCGTGCGCAATGAAACGCGCGCTGCGTCCGACCCCAAAAAAAGAAACTGTCGACCTTTGAACAAGCGTAGCCTCGCGACAAAAAATCGTACGAGCCTCTACCCTGGCTCGTTCGAAAGAGAAAACGTCCCCCTAAAACACGATCGTAAGGCGAATTCGTAGAAAAATTTTTTTCACCTCCGTGCAGTCGCTTGAATTCGTTAAATTGCGGGAGAAATGGGAGAGCTTCGAAGAAGAAGAGTCCCCCGGTTTTTCGTTCTGTTCTAGAACAAAGAACGATCTTCGACGAAGCACGGCTCGAGGATGTTAAAGTAGAAGCTTCGCGCTTCAAAATGACTCGATGTAGATCACCGTAAGATCCTTTCCACACGAAACTACAGCGGTCCAAAGATCGACCATTTTTCTGTTCCGGCGGTGCTTTTAGTTCTGCACCCGAGCGTACTTCAATGTCCCGATAATCCTGATATGCCCGGAGGATACTGACCGGAAACACGGAGAGATTCGAAGAATAGAAGCGTTAGAGTCTTACCTCCGGCCATGGAGAGCGCGGACTTGTCGCTGATTCGCCGCCTGATGGGCCCTGGAATGCTGGGCAGCGTCGGCATCGTGGGCATGCTACCAGGCATGTTCGGCAACGGTGGCATCCCGGACATGTTCGACATGTTGGGAATGGGCGGCATGGGCGCGCCGGTCGGCGGTGGCAGCTGTCCACCTGCCGGCGACCTCACCGCCGAGACCAACGCCGACATCGAGACCGGGGACACTTGGGAGACGCTGAAGTTCGGCGGCGGCTGGCTCATCAACGCCGTCGAGAGATTTAACTTTGGTATACTCGAGCCGGTCTGAAAAATCACGGTTTTACTCGGACCGCCGCGGAACACGATCACCGGCCCGCGGAACTTTATGCTAATTCCCGGCTTTTTACGGCCGATCGATAAAAACTGCAATTAGATGGAAAGTCCCGCCACGCCGCACTCCGGTCAACGGTTCCGCAGCGCGGACAGCGACGCGAATTTTCGCGGGCCTCGTTTCACGACGAAGTTCCGCACTTCCAGAACTTCGCTCGCGCGAACTCTGTTTATTAGAACGGAATTTTCGACGATGCCCGATGCAACGAACTTCTGTTCCAACTCCTGTTACCTGGACCATTGTCGAGCGATACTCCAATTACGCGAACATTCAGGATATATTTAACGCTAAACCTACGTGAATGTAATTAACGCGTGCAGCAAATTCTACCCAATTTTCCTTCAGCGTGCGAATGCAAATGGACAATTTGGGTAGAGGAGATACGATTATTCGAGCCTCTTGTAATTGCTGACAATCGTCTCTTCGCAAATTGTCCATTTTTGTTCGCAAGCTGAAGGAAAATTGGGGAGAATTTACTATATTTGTAACAAGGAACAAACTGTATTTATTCAGACCGTCTATGCATCGATCTCAAGAAACGTCTTCGATCATTTTTATTATAATTTCAGTAACCTTAACACCAAATACAGTAATGTCTCTCTAATTGACGCTCAGATTGTCCACAATAATGGACAATTTGGAGGAAAGGAGATACGATTACTCGCGAGCCTTGTAATTCATTTTTATACGAATTTTTTACGAATTGTCAAGAACTATAAAAACGAGCTGCGAGGCTCGAATAATCGTATCTCCTCCTCCCAAATTGTCCATTTTGGGGCACAATCCGAGCGTCAGTAAGGGAGACATTACTATAGACGGAACGAGTCATCTTGACCGGCATAGCTTTAACATTAAATAATAAATGCGAGAAACGAATTAAGCGTTCGGTTGAGTCCATTTGTCCGAACTCCGGCTATTTGAACGAAAAGCTACAAGTAGCCCGGACAATCGGCGAACTCCTATTGCATGAACCTAGACGATTACGCGAACCGGTTGTCCTCCCGTCGAGTCCATACAAACGGAGTTCTTTCTATCGTATCAGGTTTTTCGTAACTAGTTCGAAACTTTGCTTCCTCGTTACTAATAATCAAGACTGCCGCACAGTGGAGACAATTGAACACGCCGGCGTATCCCAGCGTTCCGTGGATTTTTCTCAAGGAAAACCGTTCCCGGATTTTATTATAACCAGCGCGGAAGGCAGGAAGCGAGGGGTGGGTTCACCGCACGGCTGGCTCTATTGTTTCAGCGACTCGTCAATTGTCTCGCGGTTTTCACCGGGAATACCGGGCGCGCTTACAACCGGCTACAACGCGGCTACGTTTCCATTAATGAGTCTAATACGTTGCCATTTAAATATTCATACGGTCTCCATCGAATATTTCAGCGGACCGGTCTCAATATCAGAGATGATCCGACCTCCGCGGCCGGCGCTGCTCCCTTTCGCGTTAAAATAATTAAGTCGGCCAAGGGTGGAGAGAAACCGAGAAAAAGAGCGAAAGAGAGAGAGAGAGAGAGAGAGAGAGAGCAGCGACCGCGGAGGGCTAATGCGATATTGGTATTCTCCGACTGCCGGACTTGTTAGAGGTTTTAATTAAGGCGATATAAAATCAACGAGGACCCGATGAATTATTAATGCGAACTTTATGTATAAATTAGCGGAGCGACTCGGCGGCGCGTTAAAACTGAAACTGGCGTTGTTGTTAGCCGCGGGGAGACTCGTAAAATTTCCTACGGTCGCGGCCGTGGAAATCCGGCTTTACGACTCGACCGCGTTCCTCGTACCCAGAAGAGTTTACAGCGCGACAGTGATCGTTAGAATCGTTTTTCCGGGTCCTGGCAGCAGCGGCGCCCAGAGCAGCGTTACCGTTCGAGACCGCCGCGAACTATCACCGCGCGATTATTGCTCCCATATCGCGTCTGACATATTGGCTGCACCGAGTAACTTCCGGTCGGGCAACTTTTCACGACTGTATCGACGCGGGACGCGTTTTCGTCGTTACCTCCATCCTCCGCAGCCCGGGGCTGCGGTTTATTAATCGTTCGACTTTGCTCGGCCACTCTCGCCGACTGCGGAGACCGTCCGTAGATCGGAGATTAGGCGAGCCGATTTTATAGCTCGGACGAGACGGCTGGTTCTGGGGGTAGAATTTAGCTCGCAGCGATGACGATTAATCGCGCGTGGATTGTCTTTTACTCCTGTTCAATTGAAACTGCAGTCGAAAGTATCAAAGTCGAGTAGCATTAAACGTTCAACGTTGCTCGGCCACTCGGATTTATTTCGCTGGTCGTAACAGAGTCGTTGATTAGGCGACTCGACCAGCAGATTCTACAGCTCGGATATTTTCGGTGGCTTCGGAATAGAAGTCGCATCGAGCAATCTGATTCGCGGCGAACGTCGCGAGGAGCTGACAAACGCGAAATCAAGTTGCGATCGCGAGAGGGATCAAGGTTGTTCCCTCGGATAATCTGGAGCGCGGATGACGAAGACGATGGAATCGGCGCGAGCAACGATTCCGTTGCACCGAATTCGGGAATGAAAAGCAGCGGACTCACCGACGACTCGGACGACTTCGGTGGTTCCGGGGAGGCCATTTGCTTCGCAACGTGCAGATGGTGCATCATGGCGGTGAGCCGGTCCCGTTCCTTCTGCAACTGGATCTCCAGCTGGGAGACAACCTGCATCTGAACCCTGGCCTGCGCCGTCGATCGGTCGTCCAGCGTGTGCTCGGTGTTCAAGTGCCTGGAAGATCGGAAGACCGTGACGCGCCGGGTTCTTTCGCGAAAAGGGGGAAGAAAATCACCGCAAATCGTTCTCCCTCCTTCCGGCGCTGATGAAATTATGCCCCAAACAATTCCCGGACGTTTATCGTGGAATCAAAGCTACACGATATTAACGTCGGCGGGTCTCGCCCCTCGCAAACCCGGGGGACGCTGCAAAAAGAGTCGAAGGGGGTGGCGGAGGCGGCAACAAGATTCGGTATTTAAGAATTTCCGTAATCCTTCTTCGTCGCCGGCGGAACGGACCCGGTGGTCCCTGTATCGCGAGGGTGGAGAAAGAGGGTGAAGAAAGCGGCGCGCCGGGGGCAGGGGGCGGGGGGTGGGTGGAGAGCGACTGGTTAAGACCAAGAACGCGGGAACGTCTAGGGAAAGCGGGGACGGAGGCTGGCTGGGGGAACGGGGATTAGGACCGAGAGGCATAACGACGCGGTCGAATGTCGTGAATATTAATGAGACAAAGGTAATTAGCGTTCTCCTTTTTTTCCGTTCGGTCCTTTTTTAAGTAACGGCTTGTTTGAGGGAGTTCGCGGCGGCAAGCTGCGTGATTACTAGGGATTGCCGAGGGAACTGGGGCCGGGGACGTCGTCGGGAGCGGCGGAGGCGGCAAGCTGCTGGCTCGAAACTGATGGAAAAGGTGCCGGATGTCAATGAGATACGCTGACTCCGGCGATTTTTCTACGCTTCCTTCCTTCGGCGGCCGCCCCTCGCGGCCCCCGTCCGCGGCGCCTTCTAACTCATTCCGAACCGGCGGAATTGCCGACTTTATATTTTCCCGGGGTTCCGGTCTCGCCGTCGACACCGCGAAGGATCCCTCCGCCGATCTGCCACGAATTTACCTACATATTCTCGCGGGGCGGATTCTCACGGGGCCGTAGAGAAATCGGACGGGGTGCTAAGAGCGTTCGACGTAGCGCGCGCGGCTCGGGCGATGCCGTCCGCGGCCGACGGAGATTTAGTGAAAGTTAGGCGGACTCACTTAAGGAATGCTTGATAGTCGTCACAGATTACTTCACAGCCCGGCCACTTGCAGACCCCATGACCGTAGAGGGGATGGGTCTTGTCGTTCGAGGAAACGTCCAACGGTTTCTCGTCCAGCGGAGTGGTGCCGTTCATCTCCGACCGGCGACTCGACACTGTCGAATTCAGAAATCCTGCGATAGTCCGAAAACGAGCGACGTGTTCGCATAGGTAAGAAGTCAAGAACGAAGAGACAGTCGTCGCCCGGGGACAATAGGAAACGGGCGTCAACAAGCGAAACGAATAAGTTTGGCGCGGGAGCAGTTTAGAGAAGTCGCCGGATGGATTCCTTACCGTTCAGTCCGCTCCCGGGCTTCGAGACGTTGGAATTCTGGTGGGATTCCGGGACTTCCGGTGGTTCCGTCTTCCATATCGGCAGACCCTCGCCCGCTTGCAGACCTGTACGGAATTTTCAGCGGATTCAGTCGCTGTCCCCCTAAGCTATATCTATTCGGTTAAATCGAAACCGCCTGGCGAACTTTAGGACGCGTCGCTGGATACGTTCGCGTTAAAACAATCAAAGTCGCCGGGACTCTTCGACATCTATACCTATGCAACAACAAGTTGATCTCGCGATGATTTCTTATGTATATACATACACTAAAATATGACCGGTTTTAATTATTTCTAAATCGAAACAATATTTGACTCTTTTGTGACCAAAATCTAGCAACTGAAATAAATGAATAAATAGGAGAAACAAATAATTGTTTCGTTCTAACAGCGAAATGATCAATGGCCGGATAATAAATAAGCAATTAAAACTAACAAAATCGCATTTGTTGCGACACCGCCGGATGTTTACTGCGAAACGAACAAACAATTCCATGTATTCGCGCAAAAGCATTTCCGCGATGTGAACGATTAAAAAAGCCATGAATCTAAAAATTTGTCACGCTGTTCCGCCGTTAACAATCTACCTTTGGAACCGCGTGTATCTCGTCGGAGAGAAAATACCGGGTTGTTCCAAGGCTCTGTCTCTCGTGAACCGTTTAACAGTCGGCGGGTAATAGAGACACACTCGGGCGCGGAATTGCGCCGGGCATTCAGGACTTTGTTTCTCGGGCGAAAAAGGTAAACGAGGCAACGAGAAGAGGAATCAAGAGCGCGTTAAAGGGTGGAGGAGCAGGGAAAACGATGGGCAAGTTTGTTTCACGCGTGAGTTTTTGAATCCGAAGTGCTCGAGAGGCAGTCCCCGTCGCTTTTCCAGCCCTGCCCTATTATTCCACCGTTTCTCCTCCTCTCCTCGCTCTTCCAGCGTGCTGCTGCCGCGCCAGAAAGAAAAACATCGCCGGTACGAGGATCCGACGCAACCGAAACACTTCCACGTGGAAACTTTCGCCCAGGGTGAAGTGGAAAATGAGAAAGCGCGCGGGGGGGAGGGTTGGTTGGGAAAGCGTCGAGGAAGAAAGGGAGGACTCGTGCCGCGAAAATGGGCGCGTTAGACAGTGCCTGGAATCAAGAGCTTCGCTCATTCGACGCTACAAACTACTTCAAACAGCTTCAATTTATCTCGCGGCGGTTTTTTCCACTCGTCCGGAACAATTTTCAGCGAAACCGCAGACTTCCCGCATTTGTCGTGCACAGATTTCGAATCCGATGCACCGGAACAGGTGACTGGAATAGGCTTGACACCGTGTGCCGATGTTTGTCCGCTTTGAATACGCGGAGTTTCGCATTATTCTCGGATCGATTCGAATGAATATTTATCTGAGATAATTATCGGAATGAGTTCCTTTCGGTCGAATTATTCGCTATTCGTTGTAAATGATTTTTATTTATTTACAACGAATCATTCTTTATTCGAATAATTCTTTGACCGAACGATTCTTTATTCGAACAATTCGAATAATTCTTTGTTCGAATAATTTTTTATTCGACAGATTTTTACGCTCGCCAGTTTCTTCGTCGTTTAACGCGGAAGCTCGTGTCCGGTCATGCTGAGAACGATGAAGAACGATAAAGTACCTGAAGAAGGATTGTGTCCTTGCAGACCAAGGCCTTGCTGTAGAAGGTACTGGCTCTGCGTGATCTGCAGTTGCTGTATCAGGCGTTGCTGTTGCAGCGCCAGTTGCTGAAGTGGTCCGGAGGCCTTCTTCTTGTCGGCGGTTTGCAACAGATGCGTCTGCTGAATGACGTTCAGCTGCAGCTGCTCGTGTAGCTGCTGTATCGCCTGTTCCAGCTTCTTCCTGCCCAGCTCCGCGAACTGATGTTGATGCTGTAACAATCGGTCGCGATAAATACCAGTCGAACATCTTCGACAATGGTCGAAGAACGAGCCCCGCTGGTTAGAAGAGAAGACGAAGGGTCGAAGTTGCATCTCGCCGTATAAATCACGGAGACAGATAATTCTTGAGGAGGGGAGACAGAGGGCAGTTGATGGGTACCCCGAAGACAAACAACGAGACACGGCCGCCTGATGGCGATGCTTAATTGCTTACTTCGTCCCGCGGTGCAACCCCACCCCGCCATGAATTCTTCCCGTCTTCTCCGAGCCTCGGGGATATTTTAAAACAAACCCCCGAGATAGAGCCGCCTCTTCTCCGCCCCTTTTATCATATTGCACTATAAACAAGAACTGTCGCGATTAATGAGCCGGAACCGCGCGACGCTAATGAGAAATTGTTGGCCGCGGCGCGACGGTGCCGTCCGTGGTTTACAGCGTTGCCGTCGAATTCGAGGAAAACAATGGCTCGGCAAATAGAAACAAAAAGAGAGAAAAAAAGGGAAAAGAAAAGAACATAGGAGAACGTTAGATTCTCGGTAATTGCGATCGTGTTTCGCGCGAGCCGGCGATAATTTCCTTCGAGTGGACTGTTTCAATTTGCAGAGCAAAGGAGACCCGGCCAGGCCACGCCGCTAAATAAATATTTGACACCTCTATCGATGCTATCGAGCCTGTGTGCGAACCGACGATACGTATTTGCGTTAAGATGTCCTTTGTGCTGTTTACGGGTTACCTATTCCTGGTAAGAATACGGTCGTGCAAAGAGCTCGGGCCAGAAAGAACGGGAAGATCCTTCTTCTCTGGCGCGCATGCTTCGCTCAATAACCTCGTTCGACGATGTATTAAAACTCTAATTGGAGAAGGTCTTAGGGTACGCTCGGTTTTAGGAACGATATAAAGAGCTGATAGAATAATAGAAAACCGTAGCTCCTTTTTTTAATACTTTGTCGACCGGCGGTTCTACAAATACCTCTCCTAAAATCGAAGATCGATGGCTAAGAGTTCGTTGAAAAAATTGTTCAGAAACTACGATAATCTCGTCTAGGATCCATCGAATTATTTGGACAGCGACAACGGGATTCTGACCGGGAAATTTCGGTGACCGCGACGCGGTTTTAAAAATTATTCGAACAAAAGGTAGAAAAGGTAAAATCGTAGAACCGAATTTAGCAGAACTCCGTGGAACACGTTGTTCGACTAGGAAATTTGTCGACCGTTTCGGAAACTATTTGTACAGCGGATAGCATAGAAAATCGTAGGTCCTCGTTAAGTTAAACACCGAGGGAACGATAAAATATTTGAACTGCTCAACATTCCTGCCGGCGAAGCGGAAGGAGAGCATCGCTTCTAAAGTGTCCCCGGGAAAAGATGCTCCAGTGTTTGCCCACTTCCGACGAAAGATGGGAGAACAGCCGCTTTTTATAATTAAAATTATCAATGGTCAAGGGAACACGTTGATGGAACGCTGTTTACCCGGGCAAGTGTTTGGCGGGATGTTTAACTATGCAATGATGCAATGCTTGCTCGATAAAAAGGACAAACTCCGCTAATGTAGTTTGAAGAACCGGGCAACAATGAGCTCGCCGGAACCAACCCGAAACCCGAGATTCCGGCTGATGTCGTTGCCTTCACAATGAGATACGGATGAATGGAATACTTACGTCTTTTAGGGACGAGAAGTAGCCGAATCGGTCTTGGTTCGACGCGTGCTCCGACGACGAGTCCTGCAACAATAGGAAACTCGATGTTGGTCCACGTTGGCTCGACTTCCGAACAAGAACTTTAAAGATCTAACTCGGGACTGCGATTGTGTGGGTGGCTGCAGTTTCGCGGTAAAATGTGTCGTTTGTATTGACGTACTGTCGCGTCATCCGTACATGTGGGTGACGGAATTATTTGCTCAGACTCAGCAATTAATTTTCGCGCTAATCTGTTGAAACTTCCCAATTTTATTGAGATCAGCAAAGAAGCGTGAGAACGTTGACGAATCAATTGGTGTCATACAATTTAGCTTTTCAATTTTAATTCGATCGAATAAAATACTTCAATCACACGGAATTTTTGCATCGATCTTAGGATCGAGATACTCAAGCATTGCTTCTGGACAGAAGACTTTAACCTCTTCTCATTGTTCGAGAAATTGACAAGCGAATATCAAGGAATTCGTGAACAGATGCTGTCAATGTCATTCAGAAAAATGTCTACTATCGAGAAGGATTCTCCATTCTGGAGAAGAAGGTGAATTTACCTGATGGTGTTGCTGCTGCTGCTGCTGCTGCAGGTACAGCGTGTGCTGCTGCATGAAGGACTGGAGCTGGGTGGGGCTGAGGATGTGTTGCTGCAGGAGCTGTTGCATCTGATGGATGCCGCTCGCCGGGCTGAGCATCATCTGCGATGGGTTCTGCGAGGGTGGTGCCCCTGGCGGCCCCCCAGGCGGAGGACCCTGCGAAGGATTCGGTGGCGAACCCCTCTGCGGGGCCTGTGGACTCTGATGGGGACTCGGTTGGGGACCAGGCGGCCCAGAACTCGGCTGTTGCGATTGCTGCGTGATGATAGGCTGCTTTTGCTGGGTCATGGGTGCTGTTGTCACTGCGTGCCCAGCGGGACTGAGCTTCCCATTGCTCTGATACTCGATCTTGAGCTGCTCTTGCTGCTGCTGTTGTTGTTGCTGTTGCTGCTGCTGTTGCTGTTGTTGCTGCTGATCGGTCAGACCGCCGGCCAACTCGTTGCCTCTGACGTTCTCGCGGCTACGAACCGACAGCCGGTCCCGTTCCCGATTCTCGCGGTCCCTCGACGAGGGAACACTGTCCCGAGGTTGCTGTTGCTGCTGCTTCAAGGCTGCAAACAGCGAAGTTGCCTGCAATACGAAAATGGAGATCGAGAGCTCGGTCAAAGTCGGTTTGCGAGCTGCGTGTCGGGTGATCGGGGATGATGATATCGATTTCACGCGGAGGCATTACGCTTTACTTTGCTATTCGCGAACTCGAAAGCGTACGGAGGTCGAGCTCTCTCTTCTAGTTCGCGAAAGAATCTTCGCGCCGTTTCCTCGTTATCTTCTCGCCTCGCTTCGTTACGCGCGCGTCCGGGAATCGATTAAAACTCCCACTCCACTCGGCAGGAGATAAAGGAGTTTCTGTTTTGGCGACCGCGGCGCCGCTTGTACAAAGTCGAAACGCGAGATAACAAGGCAGGGGGAGGAAGGGGGCCCCCGCGAGCGAAGAAGGCGGGCGAGAGACCGAAAAGAGGGAAGAACAGGCCTCCGGCGGAATATTCATGATATAAATGCCCGTGTAATGTGCTCGCGTTAAACTTCCAGCGTATTTTGAGCAATATTGATCTTATCTAATGGTATTCGAGGCCCCGGAGACGACTCCGGCTATCCTCCGTCATCATTGGCTGGGACCAAGCTCTGCCAGCCGAGGCTCGACGGGAAGGAGGAGCTCTCGCCTGTTGTCTGAATGACGTCGGCCCGAGTCTCCGCCTTTGTTGTTTACGCAGCGGGATTTGTTTTATTAAGTTCTATCATCAAGTAGATTGCCGAGCGCAAAGCCGGAAGGCAGCAGCAGCAGCCCGGCTCTTCTTCCGCGCGCGCTGTCTTTCCAGCAGCCTCGGCACGGAACTTTCCCCTCCCCCCTCTGAGAAACTATCGGAACCGTTCCACGACTTTTTGCCCCTCGCGGTTTACTTTGTTCCTTTGTCTTTGTTAATGGAACGCTCGCCTCCTCGCGGGAAACAGATATCATTCCTTGTTTCCAATGGCAAATCTTTGCTCGATCGTCCGGGGTATATTCGCAGGCGGCTCCTAAAATACTCGGAAGCGTTTCTCATAAGTAAACAGGAAATGCATAGACATTTATTGTTGTAAGACAAAGACCGACGATTTGTGCTTTCGCGGCAACGAGCGTGTTTCAGTTCCGCTTATTCGAACACCGTTCCTTAATCGTTCGAGTCCCAAGCAGCGCGATCGCGCTGTTCAGATTTTCTGTCGCGTCAAACTTTAGCGATGCGCGTATATCGCACAGCTGCTTTTCTTTTTCTTTTGTTTGCCAATTTTAACGAGCGCTGTCGCGCCGCTTGGTTCTCATCGCAATCAATTAAGACAAGCGCTATCACGCTGTTCGGCACTTTCCGACCGTGTTTTCTGAATAACTCCTGGGACTGAAACGGTTAAACTCGTTAAAGAAGGAAAGCAATTTATTTAGAATAAAGTTTCACGATCGATTGTTACTATTGTTTCTGTGTACCATATTTTCTGTTGCGATTACCGATTCCAGTAAAGCACTTGATTTTAATTCACCGACACTTCAGATACTCGATTAGTTATCGATTGATAAACGATGATATCTAAAGAGCGAATCGAAATCGCGTTTGATAGAAATCTGACGGGGGGCAGGATGTACTATAATATTATCGACAATCATCTAACATTAATATCCTCAGAATTACATTTGGAAGTAGCGCAAGCTTCAATTGTTACGCAGGCACGCGATTACGATCACGAGAAAGTCAGCTCCCGTGATCCGTGTACACCAACTGTAATTAAGATTACTTTCAATGATCCAATTTCACCGAATCGCATTCCGCGCGCGAAGGAAATCATATTAATTACATCCGCGGAAAACCGTAAACAGTCCGCGCCGGACACACGGGATAGTCGTACCGCGTTTGATCTCGCGAGTGTGTTCAGCATGGACGCGATTCGTCGAGAAATACGACCGAATGACAGCCTAAGTGTCGGTCATTACCACGCGTTATTGACTGCGGGGTACTAAGAAAATGAAATTCTCACTCGGGGTTGGCCGGCACGCCGCGATGCAACCGAATAGACGCGATCGCGTGTTCGCAGAATCGAGGTTATTATCGACGTTTCTGTATTATCCCTCGCNTCGCAGGCGGCTCCTAAAATACTCGGAAGCGTTTCTCATAAGTAAACAGGAAATGCATAGACATTTATTGTTGTAAGACAAAGACCGACGATTTGTGCTTTCGCGGCAACGAGCGTGTTTCAGTTCCGCTTATTCGAACACCGTTCCTTAATCGTTCGAGTCCCAAGCAGCGCGATCGCGCTGTTCAGATTTTCTGTCGCGTCAAACTTTAGCGATGCGCGTATATCGCACAGCTGCTTTTCTTTTTCTTTTGTTTGCCAATTTTAACGAGCGCTGTCGCGCCGCTTGGTTCTCATCGCAATCAATTAAGACAAGCGCTATCACGCTGTTCGGCACTTTCCGACCGCGTTTTCGAACGGTTAAATTGTAAACTGCTTTCTGGTTCTGCCGGAATTTGCTTTCTATTAAGACGTCCCCGTCCATTAAGACGAGACAATCAGCTCGAAGCGTTCGGCAGAATTTTCCAGCGATTCCGATGCGATCCGAGCAGAGAAAAACGGTGACACGGTACATCCTCGAAGAGAAACAACGCCGGGGCGGATCGCGTTTTATCTCTTGGCAAGCGTGAAACTTGGCCGAGTAATTTCATCCGGGGGCAAGATCGAGGGTTCGAGACGTAAGCGTTGCAATTCGGTCAGAAAAATTCGGCGGAGGAGCGAGTGCCATTGTACAGGGACAACGGGGCAATTCGGGCGATCCGCTGGCGTCGCGCTCGAGCGCCGCGCGTTGAAACGAGTCGTTCGGCGGGACGGTGTTTGCAGAAACGACGTTGTTTGTAAAATTGCCCGGGACCAGTTTTCGATTCCTCGAAACGGGCTGCCGTCGCGCAGGCTGCTTAGAATGCCCGTTTCATGATGGCGTTTCCTCGACTCGTCGCCGAGGAGAGAAGAGCGACAATTTCCAGCGAAGCGGACGGGACGACGCGCGGTGAATCTTCAAAAACCGCGTCGCGGAGCGATCGAAGGTCGCCGACGTGCCGCGACGTCCTGGACCACACGCGCAGAGCGTCGCGGCGACGCAACGCTGATTCGTCGAACGCCGAGAGACGGTCTCTCGTCAGAGATAAATTTAAAACCCGCTTCCCGCGTCCTCGACCCGCCCGGAAACTCCGCGATTGTTTCTGCCGAGCGTGGAAACCCTGTCTCTCTCTCTTTCTCTCTCTCTCTCTCTCTCCCTCTTCTCTTTCTCTCTTTTTGTTTCTCTCGCTCTCCGACGGCGAGTGGAGCGAGCCTTATGCTAATCTTATTTGTGTACGATTACGTATGTTTATAACATGCAAAGAAAGTCCCCGCGGCCGAGCCGTTATCAGTGTTTAGTCAGGAGCAGAGCGTGGCGTTTCGTCTTGGAAGTTCGACGCCGCGCCGAGCCGAAAGGAAAAAACGCGCCGTGGAAAAACAGAGCGGAAACCGCGCTCCGCGACTCCACGGGAAACGTATCGGTGCCTTCGCTTTTCCATTCCAGAAATCGCGCTGCCCCGTACACGTTCCACAGTGGCTGTTTCCTCGGACTGCGAGGCATCGCATCGGAATCGTTTAAAAATTCTATAATAATTTACCGGGATATTTTTGGTCTTGTAACGTTGCAACGTTGCGTAACAAGTGCTCGACAGATGCCGAGGAAACTTTGTTCATCCTGTGAACTGGCAGGCTTTCTGGGTACCGTTGCAAAGTTACTTGTTTTCTTCGATGTTCCGGATCGAGATTTTCAGGGTTAATTTGTTTCTGGGACGTTTCGCATTTCGGTAAATTGCCTCCGCGCCTTTCAAGCTTCTAGCAGAACGTTCCGACGAACTTGTCGAGTTTTCTCGGGACGAATATCAATGAATATCAATGTAATTCCGAAGCGATCCTGGTGCGCCGAAGACGCCGATGGCCGGCGAAAATGGTACCGAGTGGCTCCGGCGCTGGAAGAAGCTTCTCGAGGGCCCTGTCCGCCTTGGGCAAAAAAACAATAAGGCTGGTTTCCGAAGCGACCGTTTGCTCAGCGAAATTAATGGAAAGCAACGATCGGCAAGGAGTTTTAATCCACTTTAGCCAGACAGGCCGGCACACCGGGCTAGATCGCGATCCTTTAATTCGCTAATTAATACCGAGTCTGTCTCCACTGAATATTCTCTACCCCCCCCCCCTCTCTCTCTTTCGCTCGCTCCCTGTTACACCCCCACCGCCACCCTCCGTGTGTCTCGTTGCCTCCGTTTCGACGAAAGAAACGAAGAATCTTGAACGTCCAAAGCCGGCGTGTCGGCCGAAAGGGGTGGAAAAATCGCGGAACCTCGAGGGGCGGTTCGGTTCAGCGGGTCTGCGCCGGGGTGGCGACGACGATGAAGCCTCGACGTGTGTACACGACCGGGGCCAAAGGAAAAAAATATAAGGGTACGGAAGAATGAAAGTATAAGAGCCGACGGTGAAGGGCCATCGACTACAGATAAGAGGGACTCCTAAGACTCTTTTAAGAAAAGGTTAAATAAAGGTCGGGGAGCCGCGCTTGTTGTTGGCTGTTCAGATTCCTTCGACCCCTTTCCGCCCCCGCCCCTCGCCCCGGTAACGCCACTTATTTGAATCCCGAAGGCTCCTTCGAGTTTTCAGCCCCGACCGACGTCGTCGTCGTCGTCGTCTACGCCGCCGACGTCGTACCGGTTGCCTCGACGTCGCCGCCGAGCAGCCTTCATATCTTTTATATATTAGAATTTTCGCCACGCCACCCCCGCGCGCCCCGGCTCCGGCTCCCCGGCACTCGTTCTGTTTACTGTTTGGATTTATTCCAAACGCCCCCGACCGCCCTGTCTTCGCAAACCTGCGACTCCTCGCCGGGAACCACCGTCGTGGCTGTATATGAGTTCTCTCCGCGGGTTCCCGTCTTTATATTTTCGATTTGCGGCCCTCGCCACCCTCTCACGGCTCGTTCCGTGCCACCCCAGACCGATCATTGTCGTCCGGAAGATATAGCTTTCTTGAGAAGCCAAACAGATTCG